GAGCTGAGCCTGGAGGGAGGAGCGGTCTGGGCAGGTCACCCAGGTGCGGCGGGGCTGGCTGCCCATCCTCTGCTCACGGGGTGCCACCCTCCTCCCCACAAGCTCCAGGGGCAAGTACAAATCCCTCGCCTGCCAATCGGAGCCCCCTCCCACCTCACTCCCCACCACAGACTCCTTCACCTGCTGACCCAGCCTCCTGGTTGTTCCATGAACAAGCCCCTCCCCCTCTGGGCTCTGCCCATTCTTTCTGGCCATCCCCCAGGCCCAGAATGCTCTCCCTCCTCCACTCCTACTACTGACCTTCCCAGCTTTCTTCAAGTCCCAGCTACAAACCCACCTTCTCCAGGAAGCCTTCCCTGACCCCTGCTAAAGCCAAGGCCTTCCCTCTGTTCATTATCTCCTACTTATCCTGTCCAGAGCTCACTTCGTATCTAGCTTGTCTGCTTGTTTCCCCGTTAGACTGAGAGCTCCTTGAGGGCAGGGACTGTCTTTGCCTTTCTTTGCCCAGAGCTTAGTACAGTGCCTGGCACACAGCAGGTGTTTAATAAATGCTTACTGACTGGCAGATATAAGAACACCTGAAGGCAACACCTAGAATCCCCACCAAAAGAAGGGTTCCAAGCATGCCCTTGGTGTGATAGGGGGGAACCATCCCAGCCTGTGTGGGAAAGGGCCCCTGGGGGGAGGCGGGGCAGGGACAGGATCTGGGACACAAGCCAGCCTTCCCAGGGCTGGGCCACCGGGACCTACACTGCGAGCACTGAGCCCAGGCTCCCTGGCAAGGACCCTGGACAGAGAAAAGGGGTCAGCCAGGCAGCCCCACCCAAGGCTTCCCCGCCGCAGTCTTGGGGACAAGCTGGCCCCCTCCCCCGAGCCTTCAGCTTAGAGCCTTAGAGGATGGGCCCCTGGGTCCCACTGCCTGTTGCCCCCTGACTCTTTGATTCAGGAGGGTCCATGCACAGGTTGTAAGTGTTTTGAGAACAGTATTTCCATAGGAGTGGTTTCCCTGGTAATCCCACATCTTTTACTTCAGACCGTTACTTTGAAGAGGGGTGGTCTGCAGTGGTTCTGGATCCCTCTGTGCCCCCAGGAGCTCCCCCTCCATCTCAAAGCCCTCTGACACCTCCCCCATTCTCTCTTCCCTTCCTCCCATCTGATGAGGCGGTGGCACCTCTCCTTGCCAAAGCCACGCTCGCTGCCCCGGGGGATATAGCTCCGGAGTCCAGAAGACCTGGAGTCAAATCCTGCCTCAGATATCTCCAGGACAAGCCCCTTAGCTTCTTCTTACCTGTAAAACGAGGGAGGGGGCTCGATGTCCCACTCCAGCAGAACGCACCTACCCTCGCGCCATCTGCCCTCAGTTCCCCACTGCCTCTCCTTAGCTTCTTCAATCTGCCTTCCACCCTCTCCCTTTCCTCCAAAGTGCCCAACAATCCCTTAACTGCCTGCTGTCCATGCTCCCCCTTCTTCACCTGTGACACTCATGATCGCCTGCTTCTCTCTCTCCTGGTTCTCCTCCTTCTCACTCAATCGGCCAGTAAATGTGCATTAAGCACCTACTCTGCGGCAGGTGCCCTCTAAGTGTGGGCGCCCCCAGGCTCTGTGCTGGGCCGTCTTTCCTTCTGTCCCTAGCCCCTCTCTGGGGGACCTGTCAGCTCTGCAGATGGTGGGCATCTCCCGGATCACTTATTTCTTGCTGTTCTTCCTGTACTAGTTTCCATCAGTAACAGACTGAGGTCTGCTCACTCCCTTGGAATCCCAAGGTCACCCATCGGGAGCTGAAGAGGCTGCCCAGAGAGGCAGTCCTCAGACACCAGGCAGGCCGGTGCCCTTTGCTTTTCCCTAGATCATGCTGGGGGACCGACAGATAACAGCCCAAAGCGGGCATCATTCCCTGATCTCCAGCCACCATTTCAGTGAAGGTACTGCCGGTCGTGGCCGCGTGCACTGATGCCAATGACGTGCTACTGGCCTCTGTATTTGCCGTCTGACACAGATTTAATCTGAATTTTGAGTTCTCAGATCCCGGTCCCGCCCCGTCGTGGGCCAACAACTCCTTGGCAGCTTCAGCCACCTGCCTGTGGGACGAGTCCACGAGTCAAGCCTTCACCCCCGTCAGGGATGGCAGCACCGGCCGCATCCCCCAGCCCACCCTTTACCACATGGGGCCAGCCTCCAAATCAGCAGCAGGCAGGAAGTCGAGGCAGCACGTCCCGGAGCTCATCAGGGTCAGCTCCCCACACCCCACTCCGGGCCTGCCCCACAGGGCTGCCCAGCCCTGACACTCATCTCACGCACAAGAGATCAGAGCCTTTAGGGGAGCAGAGAACTCTCCCAATACATCTTAAGTTTCTGTTTCTATCTTCATCTCCAAATACACCCCTCCTTTCATCTCTACTCTTCCGCAAGCCATCCCTTGTAACAAAGAAAAAGAGAAAAAACAACCCAGGCAGGCCAAGCCGGAATGAGGCACCAGCTGATGTGGATGTACCCCTCCCCTTCCTACCCCCCCCCTCGCAGGCCTCCATCTTCCCCGCACAGAATGGGGGAGGCACGCTCTGTCACTGCTTCTGCTGGCCTCAGTTTCCATTTTGGGCTCTTTTCATTGAAGTCATGGTCATTGTTGCCATGGATATTTTTCAGATGGTTCTCCTGACTTCAAATAAGTGATCAAAGTTAAGGCGGAAACAATTCCCGCTAAATCCTGAAGTGAAGTGAGGCGGCCCCATAGCCCACATTCACCTGGCACAGTTCTCAAAGCTCAGCCCACAGCAATGAGGCTAGAGAAATATCTCAAAGGCTTTGAAAACGATCAGCAAAGGGGAGATAAAATGGTCCCTATTTGCTGATGATATGATTTTACTTAGAAAATTCTGGAGAATCAGCAAAGAAACTAAGACAGATCAAAGCTTCAGGAAACAAAATAATCATTCAAAACAGTTTTTCTATGCAGCAAGAATAAAACCCAGGAGGAAACAATGGAAATGGAAGTGCTACTGCCACAAAACTGAATAAGTCGTTCCCCAGAGATCCAGGCAGAAAAAACACTCCTCAGAGAAACAGAGAACGTCTTAGAGGAGGGAACAAGGATGATGCTGCCGCAAATCAGTTTACAGATCAGGTGCTTTACAATCAAACCACCCTGGGGACTTACATTTCTTAAGAGAGAAAGGAGCAAGAAGGGGCAGGAGCGCTCTGATGATAGGCTAGTGATCATCAAAGCCGTCTGATTCTAGGTAAAAGAAGAGAATCAAAGGAAGAGACTGGACAGGAGGAAGAATCCCAAACGATGGGCCTCAACTAACTCAACGATCAATATGCCAGAGAACAACAGTCACCTGAGAAAGCATCCCCAGCTGAGCAGAACGATGAGGGAAACCCCCCAGACTGGCAGAAAGGTGTAGGCCAGTCGCTTACACCACACAGCATCACAATTTCCAAATGGAGACGCGAACTAAATATCTGAAATCATGCCAAAATTTTGAGAAGGAACAACTTGGGTGCCTTTCAAGGCTATATCACGATACTTACTAACAATGACAGTGAGCACTTATTCAGCAGCTGCCATGTGCCAGGTACTGTGCTAAACACTTCACAGATACGATCTCATCTGCTCTCACAACAACTGAGAATGTCCTGGGAGGCTGGTGCTGTTATGATCCCCATTTTACAAATGAGGAAACTGAGGTGAACAGAGGTGAAGTGACTTGTCCAAGGTCACCTCGTCAGTGTCTGAGACTAGGTTTGAACTCTGGTCTCTCGTATTCCAAGCCCAGCCCTCTGTGCACTCTGGCGCCCCCTAGCAGCCTCACAAGGATTTAACTCTTCCTGACTCTAGGCCCTGCACTCTGTGCATTGTGGCGCCCCCTGGCGGCCTCTATGACTACGGCTGGGGAAGTGTTAACCAAACCCAGACACAGTTACAGGCAAATGTGCCACTATGAACTCTGGGCCAAACGAGGGACGTTTTACCGGGCAGGACACTTGGGGCAAAGGGCATGGATGGGTCAGTTCCTTCGACGCTGGCTGGCCCGACCTGCCGCTCCACACATGGGGCACAGTGCAGCCCATATTTCTGCACCCAGCCTCCCTTCTTTTGTCATTTTGGTCAATTCCAAGGGCCCTTGCAGCCAAATCTACTGAAAAATGAGCTCAGTCCTCGGCTCCCCTGCCATGGGGAGAAGGCCACCAATGCCACAAAACCCACCATTCCTGCTCACGCAGGAATCCTTGCCTCCTACTTATTCAGGGGGTGGGGGAATCGGTTCACTTAATCACATTTCTGCTTTAAAAAATGTGACAAGCTTCTTTTCAAAGTCATTGTCTTGCTGAGAAATGTCTCTGCTCTTCTGATGAGACTTGTGGCCCCCGCCTCAGCGTCTCAGCTCTGGGACACCTGCCTCTCCCAGGGAGTTCTCTACCCCTGCTCACTCACCTCTAAGGCTTCCTTGTTTTCCCCAGTTGTCCAAGGTTGGGGGGCGCTACCCCCAAAAGGGATGATTTTAAAAAGATGAGGACTATCGCCCTGGGGCTCTCAAAGGGCAGGAGGAAGGAGCCTCTGGTACAGGCTGACAGGCTTAGAACGGGAAGGACTCAGACCGCCTTTCATTCCATAGGCTCGGAGAGCAGGCCATACCACAAATTACAACTGAAACCAGGGCTGCTGGACACAGAGCCACAAGATCGTCAAGTGCAGACCCTACTTTCCTCTCCCATTTCAGGGGTGAGAAAACGGAGCGTGTACAGTAAGAAGGGAAGCTCCCGGAGGGCAGGAGAGGATTGGTTTAGCTTTTCCTTTGCATCCCAGTACCACGCATACCGTAGGCACTCAACACTTGCTGGCTGACCGATTAGCCACCCTCCACTCATTCCCAGACACACTGGTCAGCCCCCCACGTCCCCGGAGCCTAGGAAGGAGGCTCCATCCTTCCTGCTTCTCTCTTGGCAGAGCCTGGCCGCCAGCCCCCACGCCCCAAGGCAGCCGAGAAAGCGCTACTTACATTGAAGAAATTCGTCTTGTTCCTCTCACAGAAGAGGCCCTGGGCGGGCATGTGTGGCAGCTGCTGCCACGGGATACTGCTGCCTAGCAACACATCTCGGGCCCACTGGAGGTTCTGTGAGGAGGAGGAGGAGACAGCAGAGGAGAGCCATGGTGAGCCCAGACCCATTGCCCACCCTCGGCCGCAAGCCCCAAAACAGGGCTCTTCTCTGGACTTGTGGGAAGTTGGTCTCATTTCAGGGGCGCCGTCCCCACTGGCCCCTGAGGCAGTGCAACGGATGCATGGGACGGCCATGGGGAGCTCCTCCATTCTACAAAGCTCGGATAAAAATGGGGCTGCCAAAGATTCTTGCAGGTACTTAGAAAACCACACATTCACATTATCAATGTTCTACTATATTCTTATGCATTCTACTCAGTATTTCCCAAGAACTCGCTTATCTGGGCTGCCCTCTGGAGTGCTGGGGCGGCCACGACACCCAAGGGCCCCTTGTCTGAAACCTCTGCTCTCCAGGCAGCGCTCCCCTCCCCCAGCCCCACCCCGGCAGGAGGCCTGCCCTTCTCATGACGCCTGCCACCCAAGCAAGGGCACAAGGGAGGAGGGAGGGGTGGGGCAGAGCCGGCATCGCGGTGGCCCTTCCAGACTGGCTAGCTCCAGTGGCTTGGGTCAAACAGACTCTAAAGGCATAATCATCCCCATTGTACAGATAAGGCAACTGGGAGGGGAAGGGGGAACCCTCTGTGCAGGGTCTGCGCAGGAGAAGGCCTGAAGAGCCTAGGTGGAGATAAGGAAACAAAGGCAGGCAGCAACGAAGTGCCTTGCCCAGGGTCAGCCAGGCAATAAGCATTTGAGGAGGCCACATTTGAACTCAGGCCCAGCACTGCCCCGCCGTCTGCCCACCCTCCTACCTCACCAGCTCACTCTGAGGGCCCGGGGGCTGCCCTCACCTTGTGGGTCTTGCTGTGCGCGTAGAGGAAGGCCAGGCGGTACAGACTCTTGTAGTGCTGAGGGAAGCGGCTCAGGCAGAGGCGGAAGGAGGCCACACACTGCTCCGTCAGAAACTTGCGCTGGCCCTCGGCGTCGGCCGGCAGCCGCTGGCACAGCTCCGCCCGCTCCCCGAGCGGCTCGCCTTTCTTCTTGCTGTCCCACGGGGATGGCGCGGCGGTGGAGGCTGCAGGCTTGGCCACAACATCAACCACAGCTCTCAGGAGCCCAGGATCCCCTGGAGCCCGCAAAGATTCCACGCCTTCCAAAGGCTCCTCGCCTTTCCCTAAAAAAGGGAAGTCACATCTCAGCCGAGCTCCTGGACCCTTGATGCAGGCCAGAGCCTAACTCCATGTTTGTCATGGGAGGGCGAGCAGAGGGGACAGAGACAGAGAGACGAGGAAGGCGAAGAAGCTGGCCCTGGGAAGCGCCCCCCATACAAGGGGCTCGGTGCCTTCTCTGGCCTATTGGTTCTCCCACAGGACGCAGGCCCCGACCAGCCACCACGGTGAGCACTCGCTCCCTGGGAAGGTCGTCACTCTCCGGCACCCACAACAGGACTCAGCAGTTAACCTTGCTCTGGCTGCACTCGTAGCCTTGAATGAGCTAAGGTGGTCTACTTATACTGCCCCCTTTCTTAGGCTGGTCCATCATTTCTGCCATCACAGCAGAAAGTAAATACAAAGTAATCTGGGGTGGGAGATCGTCAACAGACGGGGAACATTTCAAGAGTGAAGTAGTGAACCCTGACCTGGGCCTTGAAGGAACTAGGGACCATGTGAGGTGGAAGGGAGAAGGTAGTGCATGCTCGGCACAGGAGTCTGCCTGTGCAAAGGCCCAAAGACTGGAAACAGAGAAACACTTTGGTGCTCCCCGTTTAGCGGGCCCTCCTCTAGCCTGGTGTTGTTTTACATTTCCATCAAGGACTCAGATGAAGCCTTAGAACAAGTGAAAACAAAGCATCTACAGAAGAGCCCAGGCGATTCCTGGGGTGTGACACAGTGTTAGCTACAGGGAGGCAGAGACGGGAATCAGGTGAGAAGGGCGGGCTTCTCTGAGGGGACAGGGCTGGGAAAGGCACGGGGACTGATGGAGGGGCTGCCCATGGGAAGGGGTTCGAATTCTTCTGACGGGTTAGAGAGAAGAAGAAACTACCAAAAGGCCAGTGGAGCCTCAGTTTCAGGAAGGGTTGCCCCAGGACCCACGATCCCGCCTGAGGGGCTATTCTGGCACATCCAGGCCGGGGGCCCACAAGGAGAATTCTCCAAGGGCAGGAGGCGGGGGCAGGCCTGGTGCTTGGGCCATGCACTACCTAGAAGACCCTGCAGCCCATCCAGAGGGTGAGGCTGGCCACATGCTGGCCTGCGAGCCCAAAGGGCAGGCGAGTTCTCTAAGACCCCTAAGGGTCAGGAGCTCCCTGCAGAGAGCCTCCCCAGAGTGAAATCCCAGCCCTGACGCACATACCTCTTTCTAGGACCAGCCCTGGAGGCACAGCCGAGGCGCAGGACCCCAGGGGCCGCTTCTCCAGGTAAGGCTTCCGGGAGCTCTCCTGGGAGCTAGGGGGCTCACTGAAGACATCCTGAGTCGAGCTGGAATCAGAGAGGGCCACTGCGGTGCTGTCCTGACTCCTCTCTAGAAAAAGGACAAAGAGGACCCCGTGAACCTGCCACTCCCCAGCAGAGCTGCTCAAGAGGGCTCCTTCCCACTACCCAGAAAGTCAGGCCCTGGCCAGCCCGAGTGAGAGCCCATCCCCACGGAGCTGGAGGCTCCCCCGAGGGCAGTGTGCCCAGAACACCATCTGGAACCCCCCGTGAGGCACACGCCAAGCTTTTCAGATCTACTTCCTGGCACCAAGGCCCTGAACGAGCAGCCTGAGCCTGAAACCAGGACCAGCACCGACAACCCGAGGACGACGTCCAGAAGGCGTTAACGAACAGCCAGAGGAACAGGTCAGCCAGAGCAGAGCCCTTGCAGGCAGCGGCCTGTGATGGGGGAGCAGCAGCCCCGGCTGGGTAAGCCAGCCTGGCAGCACCCTGGGGCCGTGCCCCCGAACCTGACGACATTATTAATCCAACATTGATGGAGAGCTTCCTAGGAGGCGGGCACCCTGCTAGGCACCAGGGAAACAAAGAGAAAGCAGGAACATACCAACAGCTGGTCCCCCTGGAGAGGATGGCCCCAGCAGCTGGGACTGGGGAAGACCCCCAGGAGGAGATGAGAGGGCTCCTCTGCCCACAGCTCTCCACCCAGGAGCCCTGGACCAAGCACCTGCCCCTCTCAAAGAGGCATCCACCGACTGGGGACCAGACTGGCCAAACGGACTGTGCAGGACTAAGGGGGCAGGAAGAAAGGTCACGCTGGAGTGTGTTGACCAGCCCTGCCCCCCGCCAGAGGCAGGATCAGGCTCCCCCCAGAGCCTCCCCTACGGAGTCTCCCCCAGCAGGCTTTATGCTCCAGGAGCAGGGGGAAGGCGCAGGACCAGGCCCCCCACGGAGCCTACCCCTGCAGGCTTTATGCTCCAGGAAGGCGAGGACGGCGCAGGACCAGGCCAGGCCTGGAGGCTCCTGCTCCTCTGGCCTCCCTCAGGCTCCACTTCTAGCAAGTTGGTGCCCTGGATGGCCGGTGCAGACCAGTGGGCTGCAGCCCTTCCCCAAGCTAACAGGAAGGATGAGCATGCCCACTAACCAAAGGTCATTTGAAGTCAGTTCTAAGAGTGAACTGCTCTCAAATTCTCCAGTCTCAGCCCAGTGGCTGCCTGGACAGGCGGACATTTCGGGGGGGGGGGGCTCTGCCACGAGGTCTGACACCCTTAGAGCCCCAGCATTGCACAAGGTGACTTACAGAACTCATCCCCCTGGGAGGGAAGGAGGCCAAAGGTGGAGAAACCAAGGCTCAGGAAGGCAGAGCTGGCATGCAGACCTGTCCCCTGCACCTGCAGATTACACAGCACGGGTGCAGACCGTACGGTCGCAGAGGTAGGTCTGGGTCCATCCCCGCCCTCTGCCCCACTCCAGCACCGCTATCTTCTGACGTGACACGTCCACTGAACGGGTGGGCCAAGGCCAATGCTCTCAGAGGGAAGAACTGCCAGGCCCAAAGACGCTTGGCCTGGACAAGGGAGGGGTCCTGCCCCTTCCTGGGCTCATCGAGGCCTCGACGGGTCTCAGGCAGGGGAGATTCAGAGCCCTGGAGCAAGCCACCATGGGCAGCATGGGCAATCTGGCCATGCCCTGTGTGAACACCGTGGAGCCGGTGGGAGATGGCCCACATGTGGAGAGCAAGCAGGAAGGCGGGCTGATGGAAAGCGTAGGGCTGTCAACAATGACCACACCAAAACGTATCAGCACAGAGGGACCAGGGACGCGACACGCTTCTTTGTCCGCCATGCCCACACTTTCTTGGAGGCCTGGGACACCAGGAGGATTAAGGGCCCAGACTCCCGGAACCACAGAGTTAGTCGTCATCTACTGAGATGACTGTGGACTGCCCCGGGTCCCAGGACAGACAGACCTACCTCCTCTCAAAGGCCCAGGCTGAGTCAGTTTCCACTCTGTGGAAGCCCAAATGCTGTTTCCAACAGGCCAAGTCTGGGAGCAGCCAGGTGGCGCAGTGGATAGAGCACCGGCCCTGGAGTCTGGAGGACCTGAGATCAAATCTGGCCTCAGACACTTGACACTTAGTAGCTGTGTGACCCTGGGCAAGTCACTTAACCCCATTGCCTAGCCAAAAACAAAAACAAAAAGGCCAAGGCAAGCGGAGGGCAGAGCCCCCCAGAGAGCCCAGAGCTGCAGACTCAGGAGACTGCAGCCTCACGAGAGGAGCCCCTGTCCCCGGCCAGATTTAGGCACCCACCCGAGTCAGCACATGCCAGCTCCCTACGAGGCCTTGTGAGGTTTAGCTGGGAAGGCAGGAAAGCCTGCTCCAGAGCGCTACGCAGAAACCTTGGCATGGTAGATGTGGCCTCTCATGGAGTCAGGAGGAGCGCGCCAGGCTAGCAAAGGAGTCCCAGCCCTCCACTCTTGAGAAGTGGGAAGGTTGGGAACCCAAGCAGACAAGCCCTGTCGTGGCTGCTGAAGGCGAAGGCCCCACCCCAAGTGGCATCCCCAAAGACATGTGCCTGGAGGATCACTACCTCGATTGGAGAGAGGCCATCTGCCACATCACTCAGGCACTCCCCCAATTCTACCTCTCCACATGTCTAGGTCCCATGGGGAGCAGGCCTTCTCCAAAGCCACGGCATCCGGGTCATCAGCCCTATTCCAGGCTCACTGGTATCTCAGCAGAGCCTCAGAGAGCCCAGGGCCTCCCGGCCACACTGGACCATCTTCGGGGAGAGCACAGGCCCGGTGGGTGTGAGCGAGGCTCGGGCCAGGCATGTGAGTTGGAGCAGGGCTCTGGGAAGCCACCAAAATCACCCCAGGCATGCATGGGGTTTCATGGGACTTCAGCAGGGGCAGGGAACAGGCTAAGTCAGATCCCTGAGAGTGATGGGGACACCTGGAGTCAGAAAGGCCTGAGTTCAAATCCAGCTTCTGACACTTACTAGTAGTATGACCCTGGGCAGGTCACTTTACTCCTGCCTGCCTCAGTTTCCTCATCTGTGACCTGGGAATCCTAATAGCACCTGCCTCCTCCCAGGGCTGTAAAGGGCTTAGCTCAGTGCCTGACACACCCGCTGTAAATGTTAGCTATTATTATGACATCCAGCCCCAGGGAAGGGGCTGGGGGGCAGGTAGTGCCGGGCCATTGGGGTAAACTAGCACCCCAGTCTCTACTGATACCAAGCATTTCTAGAACTTTACAGATGGGATCCCCTCTAATAGGAGGCAGGTGCCACTATGATCTCCATATTACAGCTGGGGATACTGAGGCAGACAAAGTGACTGGGCCAAACTCATCTGGTGAAGCTGGATTGAAACTCAAGGGTCCCTGACCCTGGAGCCCCCTCGTGGCCGGGAATCAGCTCTTCCTGACCAGTGCTTGGTGCACTGTGGTCCCCTAACAGCCTTGGTCAGAAAGATGCAAAGGAAGCACCGCGCCCAGCTCCTCCGGCCTGGACCCGGGGCGATGGCCACTAGCCAGCCCAGGGCAGCAGGCCTGGGCCCTGAGCCACGGTGGCTGCAGACTGAATGGATGAAAAGGTCTGGGCCATGCACCATGCTAAGCCCCGAGGATACAAATACAGAAGAGAAGGCAGTCCCTGCCAGCCAGATACAGAATGCCCCTCTAACAGGGGAGGTTTCAGGTGCCAGGCACATGGGCAGAGTCCCTGGGCCTTAGGCGGCAGATGCCAAGCAGATGGGAATAACGGTGCCTCTCTTTTCATGTCCTGCTCACTGGTGAAGCCCCGTCCATTCCCAATGCTTCAGTGTTTGATGGCGTTGAGGACTTGGGGGCAGGGCTCTCTCTTGGTCCTCCGTAGCAGGGGCCGCGTCCCTCTGGGGACTGGGAGGGCACTGGGGATGCTGTTTCTCGCTGTTTGCAGACACTGGTGCACCAGCAGGGATGGGGAGCATGCAAATAATGCTAAATACATTTGAAAAGCACTTGGCAAGTATCTTCTTTTGTCCTCCCGACTACTGTTGCCCCCATTTTACAAATAAGCAAACTAAGGTAGGCAGAGCTGAAGCATCATGTCCAGGCTCCCACAGCTTCTAGGTGTCTGAGGATGGATTTGAACTCAGGTCTTCCTGACTCCAGGCCCCCTGCTCTCTCCATTGCACTGACCGGCTGAAGCTTTCAGGTTAAGTCTGGGGGCAGCACCACGTGTTTCCCCCGTAACAAGACTCATTAGGACTCCTCAAGACGAGGAAATGCAGCGGACCCTTCCTCTGAGGATGGTCTGGGAGCCCCCGCATGCCCTTCAGCGCACTTGATGACAGGTAAAGGTTTGTGACAATTTCCCAGGACCTGACATTCCTTTAAATCCACTTATTCTAGGAAAAGCACGCCAGGAAGAAAACGGCCACGCTCTCCTCTGCCATGAGTCACATGCAGGTGGATGGGAAGGTCGGCCGGGCTGCACAGGAGGAGGCCCCAGCCCTGGCCAGATCAAGGCGGAGGGGCTATGGCCAGTGGGCCAGGGCCCTGCTCTGTGTCCCCGGGGAGCCGGCGGGCTGAACGCTCACTCCCGGCACGAGGAGGCTGCGCTCTCTGGATGTGAAAGGGTGGCAGACGGGCTTAGCTACAAGCTTCTCCCACTCTCTGTGGGCCCCATCCCCACCTGGAGTGATGGAGAAGGGATTCATGGAAAGTCCAGCTGCAGCCCTGCCAGCCGCGGGCCCGCGCTGACCGAGTCAGGCCCAGCCCAGCAGCCGGGCTGACCAGCTGACCACCAGAGCCTCCTGGACGGCCCAGCCTGCCCCGGCCCCTCCACCTGCCAGCACAAAGTGGAAAGGAAGAAATATCCTGGGGAGTCATGCTCCCACCGCCTTCTGCAGGTGAGGGTCAAACAGAAAACTGCGTGCTGCAAACCCACTGTTTTACAGCTCCCTGCCACCTGGGATGTGCCCAGCTCATGCCTCCAGGCATCTGAAATTTGCACTCACTGGATCCCCACCGATTCCCCTCATCTGGAGAGACGCCCCCAATACCGCCACTGGCATACAAGTCTGCAAATGACAGGGCGCACATTTAGGGTTAGGGCTGGGGCACCTCCCAGGCCTCTCTACCACACAGAAGGCCCTGAGGACGGCTGCCCATGGGAGAGCACTTCCTAGCACTTCTGAGTTCCAGAAAAGAAGCTGCTGGGGGCTGGGGCCCCAGGGGACCAGGAATAGGCCCAGGTTCAGACAGATGAGGAGTGCACACAGGTAAGGGGTGCTCACGCACCTCGGGAAGGCCCTGCCACTTCAGGGACCATGGGGAGAGCTCAGGCCTCAGTGAGGGGCACGGCCAGGGGGCTAAGGAAGAGCGTTGGGTGGGCCCAAGAAGGCCAGGCCAGACTCCATCTCCCCACATCGATGGCCCAGTCGCTCTTCTTAGTAAACCACTTAACAGAAGCGAGCCTGAGCCAAGGAACCCCTGACCTTTCTCCCGGTTTGGGTCCCAGCCTGAGCAGCGACCGGGGCCTCCTAAGGAAGATCTCCCAAGCCCTCACCAAAAGTCCTTTCAGAAGGAAAGCCCAGGGCTTTGTCCCAGAGGGGGCATCCTTGGCCTCCTCCCAGGCAGGGCAGGATGCAGCAGTGCGCTGGGCCAGGGATCGCTGAGATCGGGGTCGTGAGCCCCACCGCCACCCCAGCCCCCTCCAGCCTCCCCCCCGAGGGGGCAGGATTGAGAACAGGGACTGTACCGTCGGGCGTCGCCTGCTGGCGAGGGGTTTTACATTTGATGTAATCATGGTCGATCGGAGTAGCTGTGTAAGGTGGGGATGTCAGACCTGGGCCGGAGGAGGGGAGGAGGGAGGTCCCAGGGCCCGGAAGCGTCCCCGCAGAAGAGTGGGAGTCCTCGTCAACGATGCAGGCCTTCTCCCTGTAAGAGTCAGGGGAGAGAACACAATACAGAGGCTGCGGACAGACGCCCAAAGCAGGAAGGCCCTCGGCATCTGGTGGGGGCCCCACGGCTGGCACGGCTCGTTCTGACCCCAACCCGACTGCGGGGGATCGCCCTCAGAGGCCCTTCCTGGCCACAGGGTCCCCCAAGCCGACCAGACCAGATTCCACTGCACAGATGTGGATGAAGCCACCGCTGGGTTGGGTGCCTCGTGGAGCTGACCTGCACCTGCAGCCTGAGAAAAGTGGCCAAAGGGACCTCCCCCCCAACTCCCTGGGCCCCCACTGCTCCCGACATCAGCCTTCTCCAGGCTCCAACACCACCCAGCGCTCCCCGAGTCGGGAGCTGGCAGGACCCAGGACAGCAGCGGATCAGGGGTCAGCTGCCGTGGGTGCTGACGTGCACAATGACAGGCCTCCAATCTAGCTCAACATGCAAGAGAGGGACATTTTGGCTCTCACCCTGGGGACCCCCGGGGTCCTCATGCTCCACCCACAAGGGCCTCCAAGGAACGCTGACGGCCACACCTGGAAGGCCGATGCAGTGGCCCTGCCCAGACCCTCCAGCGTCCCCCAGACTGCCCTGGGCCGCCTGCCCCGCCTGCCGAGAATTCACCTCCCGAATCATCTCCTTTTGTGGTCGGCCTCGGTCCCTCACTCCACACTCACTTCCCACCCTGGCAGCGCAAGCTGCTCACACCGTCCTCACGGAAAAGAGGATGGCTGAAGAATAAGGTCTCCAGTGGAGGGCCCCAGGGGTCTGTCCTCTGTCAGTGACCAGCACAAGGCTGTGGGTGGGGGGCACCCTGACTCACACGCTGAATGACCAAAGGAGCCTGAGCATTGGGCCAGAAGAAATGAATTCAACAACACTGAAGGCAGAGGTCCGTCACAGGGTTCAAAAGGTCAACCCTGCCGGTACGCTGTGGGCGTGCCAAGGCCAGAAAGCGGCCCTGGGAGGGGCCTTGTGGGGCCCAGGGGCCAGCCGCAGGGAGCCCCAGGCTGCCCAAAGGCAAACATGGCGCCAGGCCTGGGGTCCATTCATTGGGAGACAGCTCGAGCTTCCAGCTCGCGAGCCACAGAAGCGCGAGCAGCCTTGAGCCACACGCATGCACTAACTTGGGCAGCTTTTCACAGCGTGCCACGTATCTTCTCTCTTGGAGCTCATCTGAGGCCAAAAGGGTCATGAAGAACTCCCTACCCAAGTGGAGAAGGCAGCCCTGGGGGGGGGCTGGGGAACCCACGCCCCAAGCAGCAGCACCCCCAAGGGAAGGAGGGCCAGGGTCACAGGGGAGATGCTGACCCAATGCGCTGGCAGCAGCTGGAGCGAGAGCAAGAGAGAGAGAGAGAGAGAGAGAGAGCGCAAGCGCAGAGGCCAGCTGCCCCAAGAGGAGGAGACCCCCACGACAGAGTCTGGAGAGAGAAGAGGAAGGGCCTGGGCAGGGCTGAGACCGGGCCGGAGCCGCCTGGCGAACAGGACGGCCAAGAGAAAGCCCACGAGGCCTGATGGGGCCAGAGGCAACGGGTGAAGACAGAGCTCAGGAGGAGAGCGTGAGGGCCCCGAAGGGAGAGGGGGGAGACGCACGGGCCCTTCGCTTCAGCCTCAGTTTCCTCAACTGTAAAATGGGGGTCACTGTGAGGCTCAAATGCGTTATCAGTAGAGAGCTTAGCACAGGGGAGGAGGGGACCCAGCGGCCCAGCTTGAGGGGTGGCAGCATTGTGTGGGCACCACGAGGTGCAGGCGGGGCCCTTCTCATCTGCGGCTGTATTTCCTTGGACCACGAGAGACACAGCGACCTCCAGAACAGGCTCCCCCCTTCCCTCCCTCTTCTTCCCCCTCCCCCTTGCATACCCCTCTCCCTCTTGTCTCTCCTCTGTCTCTACCTCTCTGTTTGTCTATATCTGTCTCTGTCTGTGTCTCCTCTCTCTGTCTCAGTCTCTGTCTCTCTGTTTGTCTCTGTATCTGTCTCTGTGTCTCGGTCTCTGTCTCTCTTCTGTCTCTGTATCTCTCTGCTCTCTCTCTGTGTCTCTCTCTCCTCTGTCTCTGTCTCTCTTCTCTGTCTCTGTATCTCTCTCTCTGTGTGTCTCTCTCCTGTCTCTGTCTCTCTGTCTGCATCTCTCTGTGTCTCAGTCTCTGTATCTCTCTCTCCTCTCTCTCTGTGTCTCTCTCTTCTGTCTCTGCATCTCTCTCTCCTCTGTCTCTGTCTCTGTCTGTTGTCTCTGCATCTGTCTCTGTGTCTCTCTCCTCTCTCTCCGTGTCTCGGTCTCTGTCTCTCCTCTGTCTCTGTCTCTCTCTCTCTCCTCTATCTCTGTCTCTCCTCTATCTCTGTCTCTCTTCTATCTCCCAGTCCCCCCCCCTCCTGAGGCAGGTATGTTTTGTCCCTCTTGCTCAGCCCTCCCCCCAGCCTACCTGCAGTTCAGGCTCCCATAAGCCTTTGCTGGGCTGCTGCCATAGCACCCCCAGACCCCCACAGTGGCTGCCACCCCCCACCCATGCTCACAATCCCCCAGGCACTGCCTGCTTCTCCAGGCCTCCTCCTGAGGTTGGGGCCTTCAGAGCCTCCACATTCCAGGCACAGGCCCCATTTCCTGCCTGCGTGCCTTTGCCCAAGTCTTCCCTGACATTCCTTCCCCATGTTGACCCCACCAGCAGAAGGAAAGACCCTGAGATCCCAGCATATGGGGTCACACCAAGGGGGCCCTTGATGAAGGGACGCCGAGAGGAGCCGTGCTCATTCCTGTGACTAGGGCAACGAGATAATCTCCAGGGATCCGTGAGGGGCTCCCGGAGGGAGCTGCCCTGGGCCTCCTCTAATGGCGCACGTCACCTATGTCCACAGTGGGCACGTGGAATGTGAGCTCCTGGAGGGCAGGGCACCCAGAGCTACCTGCCCAATGTTTGTTGACCGACTCAGCAGACAGTCCCACCCAGGACCCCACAGGAGGGCGCCCATCTCGCACTGGGAGGTCGCCCGGCATTAGGAAGCCATCCTGATATCAGAGCACAGCGATGGGAGGTGAGCACAGCGACCGCGGGCCTCCCACCCCGTGAGCCTTTCAATGAGGCCGGTGCGGGGACCCCGGGGCGTGTGAGACAAGGGGGGAGGTCGCTCGAGCCCCTAGTCATTAAGTGCCCACCAGGGCCCCAGAATCCTGTGACCGACCTTGGGGCACGCACCACTCACTTCTCAGAAACTTTGGGGGTGTTCTTCTCCTCGCCCCGGGCGAAGGGCCCCTCAGCGGCCTCCTTCATGAAGGCGAGCAGACTCTCAGCATCGACCCCGGTGCTGGGCTCGCCCACAAGCTTCAGGATGGAGGCGTGCAGGCGAAAGTAGACCTGGTGAGACAAAGTCCAGGCCGTCGCGCCCAGGGGTCTGCCCCGACACAGCCCTGAGAGCCCCGAGTGCACGGGGCGCCCACTGCAAGGTGCTCGGCGGCCGGGATGCCCGCATCTCCCTCCCCGACCGGCCCTGTGGCCTGCCCTCCAGGGAACGCGCATGGAGGAGGCACCTGCTGTGTGCCAGGCACCGCGCTGACACCCTGTACAAACACGACTGCCTCGGGTCCAGGAGAACCAGGCGGAGAGTGAGGAGTGGAAAGCCGCCGACTCACCCCTCCTCAGAAGCGAGAGCGGGCCCCATATCAGGAAGCTCCCTCCCTCGGGCAACCCCAAGACCCACTCAGCCCAGCTTGAGGGGTGGCAGCATTGCGCGGGTGCCACGGGGTGCAGGCGGGGCCCTTCCCATCTGCGGCTGTATTTCCTTGGACCACGAGAGACACAGTGACCTCCAGAACAGGCTCCCCCCTTCCCTCCCTCTTCTTCCCCTCCCCCTTGCATACCCTTCTCCCTCCTGTCTCTGTGTCTGTCTCTGTCTCTCTGTTTGTCTCTGTGTCTGTCTCTGTCTGTGCCTCTGCCGAGGTTCCTTGGAGCGGGCGCTCGGCTGCTCTGGCCCCGGGAAGGCGTGCCCCCAGAGGCGTCCACGGCCCAGGGGGAGATGCCAGGAAGTGGGGGCTTTTGCTCCCCCTCCCCTGGACGGGTGGCTGTGGGTGTGCACGCGCGTATCTGAGTTGGTGTGACTGTGCCTATGGCTGTGTGCAGTGCGAGTGTGACTGAGGGTGACTGACCGCGTGCGCTGCGCCCCGCCTCACCTCCAGCGCCTCCATGGCCAGCTCGGGCGGGTTGTGGTAGTGAATCTTCTTGGGGTAGCGGGCGGCCTCCTCGTGCAGGTAGTGAGCGGCGCGCTGGTAGTGCTGCAGGTACACGGCCGGCGGCTGCTTCTGCTTCTCAGCCACCTTGCCCAGCATGTAGTGCAGCAGCCACTCCTCCTCGTCGCCGTCGCCCTCGCAGCGTGCGGCCGATGTGAAACACAGCTTGGCCGTCTCCAGCATGCTGTCGCGGCGTTCCTCCATCTGGGGGGGCAGGTTCGGTGGTCTGTCCCCTCTGCTCCCCCTCCTGGGCCACGGCCCTCCCATCCCGCTACAGCCGCTCCCAGGCTGCCACTGCCTGCCCTGGACCCCGGCTCTGAACATAAGGAGGTACTGCGGGGAAGAGGAGCAAGAGAGACGAGGTGCAAAGAGGGCAACTGAGGCAAGAACTGCAGGGAGAAATAAGCAGCCTCAATGCACCCCTTTCAATCGCAGGCACATCGAATAAAAAGCTCAACAAGAAGTAAAGGACCTAAACAGAACTTTAGAAAAATCAGAGGTGACAGAGAGAGAGATCCCTGGTAATCACTGAATGGCAAGAAAAGGGAGTTTACATATTTCTCCGCTATATTTGGCACCTTTACAAAAACTAAGTAGTGGGGCACAAAAAACTCACCCAAAAATGTATACAAGCAGAAATAATAAATAAATCCTTTACCGACCATGATGAAATAGAAATTATATTTGGAAAAGGGCCATTGAGGAAAGAACTAAAAACTAATCAGATAATAAATGCTTTTTAATTTTAAAAAACAAAATATAATTTTAAAAAAGTTAGTAGAGACAATCCTAAAGAATTGGTGGGTGAGTTAAAGAACAAATCATAGAAATGATGATATTCTTCGGCTAATAAAATGATACCGATGAGACGACATATCAAAACTCATAGGATGCAAATGAAGTAGTCAACAGGGAAGATTTATATCTCTGAACACTTTCATCAACAAAAGCTGCTGGTGAAATTGGAAGGCAACCTGGCAGAAATTAGGCGGAAACCAATTTCTCATACCATATGCCAAAACAGGATAAAAACGGATACATGACCTAAATATTTTAAACAAATCAGACAAAAAGAGATACTTTTTACAGTTATGAACTGGGGAGAATTCTTAACTAAAATAGATCACAAATGGTGAAACATGCAATTTTACTACACAGTAAGAAAAGCTTTTGCACAAACAAAATCAATTAGAATTAGAAGGAAAACAAATGGGGGGTGGGGGGGAATCCCTGATTAAGGTCGGCTATCAAAGGTATAGGGAAATAATACAAACACTGGATGCTCAAAGTCTTAGTGTTCTCAATGATATTAAAGCTTAAAGTAGATTCAAGGCAAGAGGCAGAGCCAAAGGGGGAGGAGAAGGAGCAGGAAATCACTTGAAATCTCCCCAAATTCCCCTCCAAGCAATGTTAAAATAACACTTCAAAACGAATCCTGGAGCAGCAGAACCAGCAAATGGTCAGCTGAAACAATCTTCCAGGCCAAGACAAGTCAGAAGGTTAGCAGGAAACGTCTGCCTCGCCAGGTGGTGGCTGAGCCAGGAGCACAGGGCAGGGCAGGGAGAGCCATGGGAAGCCAGCAGCAGCTTTGGGAGCTCTCAGCCCCCATGTGGTAAGGGTGTCAGAAAGCTGGTCGGAAGGAGATCACTCAGGACTCTTGGCTGCAGAGGAGCAGGGGCCATGGTTGTAATCCCAGCGTGGAAATGCATGTGGTGGTCACTGACAGACCAGAGCACAGGCGAGGAGAACAGAGAACACACCTCCCTTTAGGTCACGCCACCCTGAAAGCACCAGAAACCTACAGACTCCTAGAATTATATCTGAAAACAGCAGCATGAAAAGCCTAAAGCTTGGGATACTACCTCCTGTACTCCAGGAGAAGAGCCCAACTTTAATAAAAAGTTAAAAGTAAAAAATTAGGCTAGAAAAATGATCAAACAACAGAAAAAGAACCAGACAATAAAAAAGTTATCATGGTGACAGGGAAGATCAATATACAAACTCAGAAGAAGACAACAAAGTCAAAATAGCTGTAAGCAAAGCCTCAAAGAAAACTGTGAATTGGACACAAGCCCCAAAAGAATTCCTGCAAGAGCACAAAAAGACTTCCTAGAAGAGGTCCAAAAAAAAAAAATCAAATAAGAAAGATAGAGTAAAAATTGGAAAAAGAAATGAGAGAGATGCAAGAAAATGATGAAAAAAGTCAAAAGCTTGGTTAAAAGAGGCATTATTTGTAATGGGGATAAGTTAGAAGCCTTTCCAATAAGATCAGGGTAAAGCTAGGATGCCCATTATTACCACTCTTATTCAATATTGTCCTAGAAATACCAGATATAGCAATAAGAGAAGAAAAAGAAATGGAAAGAATTAGAACAAGCAACAAGGTTAAAGGAAGCACAAAAATTTCCTGAAGAAAAGAAACCTTAAAAAGCAAAATTGGCTAAATGGAAAAAGAGGGACAAAAATTCACTGAAGAAAATAATTTCTTAAAAATTAGAATGGGGGGGGCAGCTAAGTGGCGCAGTGGATAGAGCACCGGCCCTGAAGTCAGGAGGACCTGAGTTCAAACCTGGCCTCAGACCAAACACTTGACACTTACTAGCTGTGTGACCCTGGGCAAATCACTTAACTCCATTGCCTAAAAAAAAAAAAATTAGAATTGGGCATCAGAAGCTAATGACTATGAGACATCAACAAACAATAAAACAAAATCAAAAGAATGAAAAAATAGAAAAAGTTATATATTTCACTGGAAAAACAACTGACCTGAAAAATAGATTGAGGAGAATTACTGGACGGACCTGAGAGTCATGATCAAAAAAGAGCCTAGACATCATATTTCAAAAAACTATTAAGGAAAATTGCCTTGATATCCTGGAATGCAGACGGTAAAATAGAAATTAAAAGAATTCACCAATCACTGCCTAAAATAGATCCCAAATGAAAATTCCCAAGACTATTACAATCAAATTCCAGAGCCCACAGGTCAAGGAGAAAATATTGTAAGTAGGTAAAAAGAAACAATTCAAACATCATGTCGCCACAGTCAGGATCACACAAGAGTTAGCAGCCATCACAGTAAAGGACTGAAGGATGTGGAATATGATATTCCAGAAGGCAAAAGAACTAGGCTAAGTGACACAAAGGATAGAGCACCGGACTTGGAGTCAGGAGGACCTGAGTTCAAATCCAACCTCAGGCACTTGCTAGCTATGTGACCCTGGGCAAGTAACTTAACCTCTGTTTGCCTTAATCTACTAGAGAAGGAAATGGCAAACCACCAGTATCTTTGCCAAGAAAACTCCAAATGGGGTCACAAAGAGTTGGACATGACTGAAACGACTCAGCAATTACAACGAAAAGTCTATTCAATACTAGGAAAACTATCAGCAGAACGGACCGTATGAACGACAAAAACAAAAAAAATCATTTTCTTAGCTCAGTAGATGTAGAAGAAGCTTTCGACAAAATACAACACCCATTTCTACTAATAACATTGGAAAGCACAGAATAAATGAAGCTTTCCCTAAGGAAATAGGTACTATCAACCTAAATTAAAAGCATGCAGGAAGGCGGCCTAGCAGTACCATAGCTCAGACGGTATTACAAAGTGGCAATCGTCAAAACAATTCAGTACCTGCTAAGAAACAGAGTGGTGGATCGATGGAATAGGTTAGGTACCCAAGAGAAAGCAATAAATGACCACGGTCCTTTAGGGCTTGATAAACCCAAAGATCCACGCTTTTGGGACAGAACCTCACTATGTGACAAAAACAGTATGGCAGAAACTACACATCGACCAACATCTTACACCACATACCAAGAAAGGGTCAAAATGGGCACATGATTAAGACAGAAAAGGTGATACCACAAGCAAATTAGGGAAACAATTTTTCTGTCAGATCCATAGATAAGAGAAGCGTTATGACCAAACAAGAGACAGAGAGCATTATGAGATGTAAAATGGATGGTTTTGATTACATTAAGTAAAAAAGGGTTTGCACAAACAAAAAACAATGCAGCTGACATGAGAAGGAAAGCAGAAAAATGGGAAAAACACTTAATAGCAAGTGTCTCTGATAAAAGTCTCATTTCTCAAACATACAGAGAACTCAATCGAATTTATAAAAATACAAGTCATTCTCCAGTCGATAAATGATGAAAGGCCATGAACAGGAAGTTTTCAGAGGAAGAAATCAAAGCTAACCATAGTCATATGAAAAAATGCTCTAAATAACTGCTGATCAGAGAAATGCAAATGGAAACAACTCTGAGGTACCACATCACACATATCAGGTTGGCTGATGTGACAAAAAAGGAAAATGACAAATGCTGGAGAAGATAGGGAAAAACTGGGTCACTAATGCACTGTTGGAGGAGCAGCGAACTGGTTCAACCATCCCGGAGAACAATCTGAAACTGCCCAAAACGCTCTAAGGCCACGCAACACCTTCCTGTACCAGGCCAAATCTAGTATGCTAGAATACAGTGGAGGTGAGTGCCAGGTCTGGCACTGGGCGCAACAAACCAACTTTAGGACACGCACGGGAAACAGGAATTACTTTTTTTTTTTTTTAAGGCAATTGGGGTTAAGTGACTTGCCCAGGGTCACACAGCTAGTACGTGTCAAGTGTTTGGTCTGAGGCCGGATTTGAACTCAGGTCCTCCTGACCTCAGGGCCGGTGCTCTATCCACTGCGTCACCTAGCTGCCCCTGGAACTACTCTTAAAAAAATGATCTGGGGGTCTGAGTGGACTGCAGCCTTGGTGAGAGCCATCAGGGTGACTGATCTTTTAGAAAACTCAGGGGACATTCAGAGGAGCAGGTCTGGCAGTGAGTGTCCTTCTGCACTCATACCTCAACACCCTTCAGGACAATCGGAGGGCCGGTGCCCGCTGGCAGGCTGGGAAAGGCCGTGCCACAAAGGCCCTGGTCGGCGGCAAGGCTGGAGGCGGAGGACCAGGGCTTACAAATCGGATCCGTTTTGTAGACAGCACACTGAGGCAGCCCGCCCCGCCGCGTCCCCCCAAGGGCTCCCACCTGCTGGACCACCTCGGCCGGCAGCTCCGCCCTCCACTGCTTGAGCTGGCGAGAGGCGAAAGAGTGCAGTGCGTAGGACATGGTGCCGTACTCGATCCACAGCGACAGGTTGGAGGCGTCGATCTCCAGGGCGCGCCTGAAGCAGTTCAGCACGGGGGCCGAGTGCCGCCAGATGGGACCGTCGCTCTTGAGCTCGTTGGAGTTCAGCTTGTCCTGGATGCGGCTGGCCCTGGCCAGAGCCATGCCGGCCCACGAGTCGAACCTGCGGGAGGGGCCGAGACACACACACGCGCGGGGCTCAGGAGAGGGCCGCGCCTGGCCCGGATCCCCAGGGCGGTCGGCCAGGTGGGCACGCACCTGGTGGGGCAGATGCAGATGTCGTGCATGTAGAACTTGATGGCCTTGGACTGCTCCTTGTTCTTGAAGTGGTAATCGGCCAGGAGGTAGTAGAGCTCATTCACTGCGGGCGGGGAGTGGTCAGCGCCCTCGGGGAGCGACGGCACCTGCGGGCCAGGTGAGCATGAGCCCCCAACGCTCCACAGCAGCAGGTGGGCAGAGGGCCCCGCCCGGCCCAGGCCCCCGCGCTAAGGGGGAAGGGATACCTCGGGGAACGCAGAGGCTTCCCTGGATGGCCCCACGGGAGCAGAGTATGGCCAGCAAAGCCCCTGAGGCCGAGCCCCCTCGCACCCCGGGGCACCCCGGGAGGGCAGCAGGGCCGACCTTGCTCAGCGTGCCCTCGATGTAGCCCGACACGTCGTCCAGGCTGAGCGCAGGCTTCTCCGTCCGCGGGACGATGGCGGCCACCTTCTTCAGCAGGTTGGCGAGGTCGGCTGACACCGTGCTCGTCTTGTAGCTGTCGAACTCGGGCAGCGTCTTGGGCTTGAAGTAGTCGAACATGAAGAGGGCGTCTTCCCACACGAGCTCCACCTGGAGGGGGCAGAGAGGCCGCGTGGAGGTGAGGACCGGCCCAGGCCCTTCTGCGAGGGTGGGGGGGAAGAGAAGGGGGAAGGGGTGCTGGGGGGGGTGGGGCACAGGGGGGGGGGGGGGGGAGGGGCAGGGGTGGGGCGCGGGGCGGGGGCGGGGTGTGCAGCCCCACCCACCACCCCACCCCCACCCCCGCCCCCACCTGCTGCACTGAGTGCTCCTCCAGGTAGCGGGCTTTGCTCTTCTTGCTGGGAAAGCTGTAGAGGCAGTAGAAGCACTGCTCCAGGGCCGTCTCGAGCTCCTCCTTGTAGGGGTGCGTGTCCTCCGAGGCTGAGGCTGCCAGCTCCTTCTGCAGCACTCGCACCTGGGACCACCGGGGACAGGGGAGGGGACGAAATGCAGACAGCCAGCAGAACTTCTGTGTGGGCTCACAGACACTCACTTTTACAAGCACTGAACACTTGCACACACGCATTTGCACACCACATGCATACACTCCTACAAACACGCACAAATACACGCTCAAATGCAAACACTCAAGCACACACGCACATGTACACATGCTCGGTCCTGCATGTGCACATGCATGCATACTCATAGTCACACTCGCACCACACACTCATGTGAGCACACATGCACAGTCACATTCAGATGAGCATGTGGTCACAAACACACTTGCACACATGCAGTCACACATGAGCACACACACACACACAAGCACACTCGTAGTCACACACACGTGCAAACATACAAGCACACACTCACACTTGTGCACAAGCACACACGCACACTCACAGAAACACACATTGGTACACATACTCATACACACACACTCATACACTTACATGCACACACACGGACACACACATATACACTCATACTCGCACGCACACTCACACAGATGCACTTATACAGTCACATGCACATTCACTCACACATGCACACACATCACGCAGGCGTACTAGCACAAATCCACTCACATGTACATTTATTCACACGTGTACATATTCCCATACTCACACGCACTGCCACGTGAGCACACACGTGCACACACACACACATACACTCACATGCACATTTACTCATACATGCACATATTCCTATACCCTCACACACACTTACACACATGCACTCATATACTCACACATGTATACTCACACATGCGCACATATACTCACACTTGCACAAATGCACTCATGCACATTTCTTCACACATGTGCACAATACTCCTATACTCACATGTATACACTCGCACGCACATTCGCTCACATATGCACACACACTCACACTCGCACGCTCACACACAAGCAGCTACCCGCAGAGGGCTGGACAAAGTCATGCCCTCACACTCACATAGAAGCGGAGGAGTGCCCCATTGGAGTTGCAGCACCAGGACCTCCTTCCCAAGTACTCGTGGGCGGTGTTGAGTAACATGAGGGACGATGGGAGCAGGGGGGTGTCTGGCCTTCCTGCAAGGAGAGGAAACAGGGTGGGGAAGTGAGGGAGGGGCACCCGCTGACGTCTCATCACCTCACATCAACAAAACACACACTTCTGAAAATGAAGAAAAACGCCAACAGCAACAGGAGGAAAGGAGAAATAAAGCCCCCGAAGGGACCGCTACAAGCCCTTGGCTTCTGCTGGTCTTGGGTTTGGACACTGCCCCCCATTACCTCACCCAGTCAGTCACTAGGACCCCCGTGCGAAGCGCTGGGGACACAGAAGGAGGCTGAGGCGGTACCTGCCCTGGAGGAGTGCCCGGTCTAATGGGGGACAGCAAGCAGACAAATAAATCTGTTTAGAGCAAGCTCTGGAAAGGGGGATGGACGGGAAGCCCACGAGGCCGGCGGCGGGAGCAGAGGAGGGAACCCGGGCAAGGCTGGCAGACGGCCAGAGAGAACACCCAAGACGGGCAAGGCTTGTCGGTGGAACAGGCCGGAGCCCAAGGCAGGGCCCAGGAAGGGCGACCGGGTGTTGGTTATAGAGGGCTTTGAACCCTGGGGGCCCAAGGGAGCCAGCGCAGTTTGCCAAGCAGGGGAGGCTGAATGGAGGAGGGACTGGAGGGGGGAGCAGATGGGGGTCTGCACCAGAGGGCAGCAGGGTCACAGGGGAGAGGCCACAGAGCGGATGGGGGGTGGTGAGAGACAGGGAGGAGCATGGAGTCAGACACCACTAGGTGAGGGACCACGGACAAGTCACTGCCCCGTTGCTTGCCTCAGTTTCCTCAGCTGTCTGTCACATGGAGATCATAATATACCTGCCTTCTCCTAGTTTGGTTTTGGGGATCAGAGGAGATACTCTTTGTAAAGCGCTTAACATGAGACCTGGCACACCTAGGCAATTAATAAATGCTTGTTCTCTTTCCTTGCTATCACTAATGCAAGCACAGGAACTCCACAGCTGGGCCGTGGTACTGCCATGCCACTCGTGGGCCCCAAGACAACGACCCACACCCCGACATTCACAGCAGGCCTCCCCGTGGCACCTGCTGCCTCTGGACAGCCAGCGGCAAAGCCGGGAGCCCAGGAGATGGGGGTGCTCAGAGAAACATCAGGTGCTCATGGACCAGGAGAAAAGGGGTTGTACACTACGAAAAATAAATGGGGGGAAAGGCCCCCGAGGGGCCGGCAAGGGCAACTCCAGTCAGAGTCCGACACGACGTGGGCAGGGGGCTTTGCCCAAGCCGCTCCTCGTCAGGGGGAGTTCCCGCAGCAGAAGGGGGCATGCTGAAAGGCATCAACACACAGTAACTCACTGTGTGGGGGAAGGCCCCGGGGCACTTGCCACCCACTCTGCTCCCCCAGCCTCCACCCAGGGCAAAGCCTTCAGCAGGGCCCAGGAGGGCGGGGGCAGCTCTCAGAGGCCGTGCTGGGCCTGCAGCCTCCTTGTCTGCGCCCAGCCCCGCTCTCTGCGGGCCGGAAGGACGGCTGGGGCCCAGATGGAGCAGCGGGGAGCCCTGGCCGGGCCCTGACCTTCACTGTCCTCAGGGCTCTGCAGCTGCTGCGGCTGCTGCTGCTGCTCCTGACGGCAGGCCCGGAAGCCCTCCTCCTCATGCTGGACAACACGGTGCAGGATGACCCACGGGAGCACTGAGGCCACGTACGGCTCCTTGGCCTCCTCCTGCACAGACATGCTGCAGTCAATGACCTGCCAGGGCAGAAACCAGGGGCCGTGAGGGATGGCAAGGAGGAGCCTCACGGCGGCCTCCGGCCTCAGCCTCCCGCGAGCCACAGCAGGAGGGTACGGGGGCACTGCCGGGGCTCGGACACGGCCCCCCGGATGTCCCAACAAGGAGGCAGCTCGGCGGCAGAGGCCCGACCCTCTGGGACCCACAGGGCACAATCCCTAACCCTAACCCGAAATCAATCAATGAACTAACATTTCTTAAGCGCCTCCTACGTGCCAGACACTGGGATTGACCGTTCTTTGTTTTAACCAACAACAAAGTGAGTCGGTGACAGCGGCGTTAGGACACCCAGCTCCTCCCAGGGGACGTCACACCCACCCCAAGCAGGCCTGCGTGGGCACAGCCTGGCTGAGCCCGAGCTCACGCCTACCTGGATGAGGTTGTTGGTGAGCCGGATGAGGCTGGGGGTGCGCAGGGGCTCATCCAGGATGCTGCCGTCTGCGGACAGAGCCTGCTCGATGCCCAGGAGGAGCTGAGTGACTGTGGCCACCCATTCTTCCTTGGCAGAGGTGTCCGTCAGGTTCACCATCTGCTGGATGGCCTCCTGCAGGGCGACCTCAGAGCACTCAAAGCAGCGTGTGTAATCCCTGAGTTTGAGAAGGGCATCCTGGGGAGAGGGGAGGCAGGCGCAGTTAGAGGGGGCATGCCCTTCCACGAGGCAGCTGTTAGACTCTGGGCCTGCCCCTCTCTGCCCCCAGATGTCCCTGCGCCAAGGGCCACACTCCCACCCCCACACCACCCCCGCCCAAGGCACGGAACAGATCCCTTCCTGGCCAGCAGATCGGGGGCCCAGGAGCTGACCCCCAGGGGTCCCCAGGCCCTTGGTTCTCCCCAACGGGGACCCTCCACATTCTACACGACACTTCTCGCTCTAGAAGAGATAAGCACCAAGGACAAGAGCATAGCCCCAGCCGGGCAGGATCAGCTTCAGAGAAGGCCCGAGGGCCTCCACGGGGGCCCAGGAGGACACCTCTTCCATGCTCTGCTCTGACCCCGAAAGAGCCCCAGTGACCTTCCGGGTCACCTGTCTGCCGGTGACCTGTCCTGGTAGAGTGCAAGCTCCTGGAGGGAAATGACCTCGTATTCTCTGTCCGGGCGGGGGTCCCTCCGCCAAGCGGGCCCAGGGGTCACTGAGCGTCTGAGGCAGGCTGTGAGCCGGGACTCCGCAGCACTCACCTGCAGCAGGAGCAGCTGGGCGGGGCGCTCCGGGATGGAGGTGACAAACTCCAGGTGCTTGGTGCGGTCGTAGCCACTGAGGCACAGAGTGGGCCGCAGCAGGTGGGCCACGGCCTGGTAGTCGCCCGCCTCATAGAGCCGCTGCAGCTCCTCCAAGGACTGGCACCGCTCCAGGGACTTCAGGTTCTTATCGATCTGAAAAGGCCACAACCGAGGGTGGGGTCGGGACAGCCCAGCCCCGAGTCACTCGGGGCGTCCGGGCCAGAAGCCGCAGCTGCCGGGAGCACTGAACGAATGAAGGACCAATGCGGGGGGAGGGGGCCTTCCACAGAAAGAAGAGACTGGGGCAAAGATCCCATGAGCAGGTGGAGGGGGCGACAGAGGGCGGGGGCACGAGGCGGTGTGCAGGGAGCTCTGGGCCCCATGTCCACAAGGGTCAGCTGGGGGGGGGCGGACAGCACAGTGCTGTGGGGGGGGGGGGGGGCCCGGCGGGGCGGGACCCGGCAAGGGGAGGGGGCCGGGGCAGCACGGAGCTGGCAGAGATGCAGAGGGGACGGCCTCGGAGAGAAGCGAGGGGGAAGAACAGGGGCGGGGCAGAGAGGCGACTCGAGAGCTCGCGAACGTGGAGGCTTGTGGGCGATGCCGAGATTGAGGTGTGTTGTGGGGGGGCTGAGGAAGCGTGAGATGGGCACAGTAGAGGGGCATCCACAGGGCAGCTGAAGTGGGGAGGAAGCCAGGCTCTGAGCTCGCTGAGGAAGGGAGGGGAGGGTTCTGGGGAGCCCTGGCGGTCAGCGGACGCCCAGGTGGGCCCAGTGACCGCCAAGGAGGAGCGGTGGGGCGAAGGTACAGCCGGTGTGGCGGGGAGGGCAGGGACAGACGGCAGGTGAAGGCGGGATGCCCGCCCCCAGCACGCCGTGCCCCCCGCGTCCCACTCACCTCCTCGAGGGAAACCACAGAATCCAGGTGAAGGTTGGGCAGCCGGACGAGAAGGCTCCTCGACTCGTGGCCGCTGCCGGCCTGAGCGGCGGCCGCACTCTGCAGGAGCTCCGTGCACATGTCGTAGTTCTCCAGGGCCTGCTCCATGTCTCCCTGACAACGAGGCCGGCCGGCACCAGCGACATCAGCCCCCGCGCCCGGCCCCTTCCTCAGCCCAACCTCGACGTGTCCAGAACGGACGTGGCTATCTCCCCCCACCCCACCTTCCCTGCCGCTGTCAAGGGTCTCAGGCTCCCACTCTCAGGGTCACCGCAGGCTCCCCCCTCTCTGAACCCCCAGATCCTACATGGTGCCACGGCCTGCCCGGTTCACCTGGGCTGCATCTCCCAATGTGCCCCCGCCTCTCCTCGGACCCCATCTCCTTCCCCATCCCCTCACCCCCGCCGGGGCGGAGCTCCCTGCGCCCCCCTCCTCACTGCCTCATGCCCCCTGTCCTCCTCGGCCCCCTCCACCCGCTCATGGGATCTTTGCCCCAATCTCTACTTCCTGTGGAAGGCCCCCCGTCCCGCTTCAGTCCTTCATTTATTCAGTGCTCCTGGCAGCAAATTCTAAGCCTAAATGCGCCTGCCTGCCTCGGTATCTCCCCCTCCGTTCAGCCTCCAAAGTGATCTCCCTAAGGTGCAGGCCTGACCCAATAACCTCCGTGAGCAAAGACACAATGCTCTGTTGGGCCCCTGCCCTCCCACCCCCAGCCCACGGGCTCTCCCCTCCCCTCCCTCTCTGGCCGTGCCCCCGGGCTCCCTGGAAGGCCCCACTGCCATCCGCCCTCCCTGCCCCCTCAGATGCCAGGCCCTTCCCTCTGTGGACCCCCAGTGTCTAGCCCAGGGCCCAGCACACAGTAGGCCCCTAAGAAATGCCACTGACTGACTTCTCCCACACCGCTCACTACGAGCACCCCTTGCCTTCTCCCATCATTCTCCTCTTTCTGTTTGAATCCCACTTCACAAATGTTTGTTGACTGACTGCGTGTGTAATGTAGATCTTGGAAGAGCTGTTCTCAGAGCAGTTATCAATGAACTCAGCTCAACTCAAGAGGGGGAAGGGAGAAGATGAGGGGGAGGAAGAAAGAGGAGGGAGAAGGAAGAAAGAAGGAGGGGGAGGGGGAGAGGGGAGGAGGGGAGGAGGGGGCTACCCTTCCCACCCTTTGACAAGTGGGGGCCCCAAGGCAGACCCAGTCACAAGGCTGGGAAGGGGGTCTGAGGCAGGATTCAAACTCCTGCCCAGAAGGAAAATCTACAAACCAGGCAGGAGGTTCCTTGCCCTCCCAAGCACCACCCCCAGGCCCATCTCGGCCCCCAGACCCTCCAAACCGTTCCCCGAGGGCCTGATGCTACCCCCCAGACTCCCCTGGGGCCTTCCCAGCCCATCTCAACACAAGCAGGCTGAGGTGACACTGCCAGGGGCCAATCCAGCGCAGTCCTAAGCAGGCAGCCAAAACCTTCTTCAATACTTCCAAGGACAGGGAACTCACCTGCAGAGCCAGAAAGCGAGCCTTCAGCCAGTATACCCTAACGATGAACTCCAACCAGCCTTCCTCAAAGAGGTCCCGCTGGGAGGAGGCAAACGACAGCTGCAGAAGGTCCCCCAGGAAGTGAGTCCCCGGGAAGTCGGGTCCAAAGTGGCCGTTCACCACCCCGGCCGGGCAATGCCGGGGAGACACTGAAAGGCATCGAAGGAGGAACGTGGATTCAGCGCCTACTGTGTGCCAAGCCTCTGCCCTCGGGGGCTCCCAGCCTCGCAAGGGAGGCCACATGCCAACTACCCTGTACACAGTCAGGACAAGTGGAGAGAATCACCAAAGAGGAGGCCCTGCAGGGCTTCCTGGAGGAGAGGGGCACAGCCAGAGACGAAGAGGCTCGAAGGTGGGCCAGCCGGGAGGGGATGGCGGGGCAGCTGGATGGAAAGGGAAGGATCCGGTGTAAGAAGAGGGGGCTGGGTGACAAGAGGCTTTGAAGGCCAAGCGGAGCCCTCTGTATCTGCTCCTGGGGGCCACAGGGAGCGCATTGAGCAGGGGGTGACATGGTCAGACGTGGTCTTTAGGGAGAGCCCTTTGGTAGCTGACTGGCAGGTGGGATCAGGTGAGGGTGTCTGGAGGAGGGGGAGGCCGGCCGGGCCGTATTTGTAGGCCCGAGGGAGAGAGGCAGGAGAGACCAGAGAGTTGGAAGGCTGCCTTCCCTGTGAGCCTGTCTATCTCGGGTCCCCCATCTGTCAGAGGGAGCTAAGGGTAGTTCCCCTCCCCCTCCCCGCCTCCTCCAGGAGATCAAAGAGAAGTGGGGGGGAGGGTGATCTGGAGGAGACAGCACAGGAGGGATCAGCTGAGCAGGAGGAGGGGTCGCCCTGGTCAGGAGTGCAGCCCCCTCATTGTGGGAGGCGATGCTGACAGCTGAGTGATGGGAGACAAGGAGGGGAGGGGGGGAGCTCACGGCGAATGGCCTCCATTTATCTGTAAGACAGGGGCAGGGTCTCAGTGGAGGGGGAGCCATGGGAGGCTCGGGGGGGGGGCTGCAGAGGCATGGAAGATGGAGAGGAAGCCGACGGGGGAGGCGGATGGTGGCGCTTGGCCAGGAGCAGCTGGGGAAGGGGTAAGAGCCATCATTCACCTGCACGGGCCCACGCCCCAGGGCCCAGCTCATAGTGCCCACCCCAGTTAGGTCTCTGTCCCCCGCCTGCAGCCCCGTACCCAGCACACAGTCATGCTCTGGTGCCTACATTACAAATCAGAAGATAACAGGCGATTCAGAGGTAGGGCAACACGGTCGTTACCCAACCCCTAAGCCTATACGTGACCAAGCCAGGGCCTTGTATAGCTCCCCCAACATCGGTTATCCAGATGTCTGTGGGAGCTGGCACGCTTGCCCTCAGACTCTCCGTGTGTCTGTCTGTCTGTCTGTCTGTCTGTGTCTCTCTCCTTTCACCAGCTCAGAACAGGCCTGAGTGAGCCTCTCACCCTCCCAAAGGTCAAGGGGCCAACAGGGGGACACGCCGTCCTGGACGGAGTCTCACCACTAGGGAGGAACTAGTCCCTGGGCATGAGCACTGGGAACCCGGGGGAAGGAACTTTTCCCTCTCAGGTCACAGGTTTCTGTGGGTTCAGAGGAAAGTGGAGAAGGCTCCCAGGCCATGCAGTGTTTCAAGGGAGGTCAGCCCAGGAAGGAGATGCCGACAAGACTCAGGGAAATGGTTCCAACAGGGAAGAAAAGTGGGGTTTGTTTCAAGAGACCAATGTGGCTGCACAGGGAACTCCCCAACCAAGCCAGATTCAGCAGGAGGAAAACAAGCATTTACAGAACACCTCCCCCGGGCCAGCATCGGGCCGAGCGCTGGGCCGAGCGCCCTGCAAGTGCTGCTTGCTCGGGCCTCACCATGCGGAGAGGGAGGGGCTTTCATGATCCCCATTTCACAGGAGAGGAATCTGACCTTGCCCGGGGTCATTCACTACATGCTCCCCCTCCAATACAAAGGGCAGAAGGCAGTCACTCAGGTTCCCTTCTACATGGGAAATGCCAGTCGGGCCAAAGTGACCCCTGTGAGCTGGCGTCCAAACGAGGCGCCTCGGCCGCCCCCGCCCCCCTAGCCCAGCTCTTCTCTCCAGGGCCTCCATTCTTCATTCCCTCCTACTGCGCCTCACCTCGCTTTGCCAGGATGCCCCTGCTGCCTCCCTTTGATGTAACATCTCCTGCCATTGGAACGGAAGCCTCTTGAGGGCAGAGCCTGTCTTGTGTTCTTCCCAGCACTTTGCCCAGTGCCTGAGACCTGCTCTGGATGAGTCCAGGGCTCCGGCTCAGAGGCCGGACATCCCTGAGAACGGGTCAATGGCACAGCTAAGCCCAGATCTGGATCATGGTCATGGCAAATGTGAGAGGCCAGGACAAGGGCAAATGTCCTAATTTAAAACAACTTTAAAGGCGGGGAAGAGAAGAGAGTCTGCCAACCCCAGGCCAGGGAGCTGGGAAAACTCTAACATGGCTCGTTTAAGAAACGGCAACGGTGATGACAAAGAAGGAGCCTGCCTGGCTCAGCAAGCACAGGTCATGATGGCAGCTGGCAGCATGAGGGGAAGGAGTGACTAGAGCTGACTTAGATGTTAGCAAAGCTTTGAATCAAGCATCTCCTGCTATTCTGGTGGAGAAGATGGAGAGAAATGGACTAGGTGACAGAAACAATTCAAAGGATTCCGACCTGCTGAGCCAGCCAGGCCAGAGTGTCTGCTAACATAACGTGAGCATTGGTGGAGGTCTCCGGTGGAGCGCTCCAGGGATCTGCACCTGGCCCTGGGCTCTGGAACATTTCAATCAATGGCTTAGCTGCAGGACTGGCAGGTATACCTGTGCCAACAGGCGGTACAGTCAGAATCTGAAAAGTTCCTGCTAGGCTTCAGCACTGGCCTGAATCAAAGAAGAGGAAACAAACAGCAAGAAGGGTAAAGTCTTGCACTACAGTACAAGAAACCAACTTCACAAGTGCATGGTGGGAGAGGCCTGGTAAGAAAGCTATTCTTCTGAAAAAAACCTGGGGGTTTCAGAGCATTGTAAACTCCCCACGAGGAAGGCTAAAATGGTGACGCCATCTGAGGCCACAATCAGCAGAACCAAGATGCCAGGAGCACAGAGGGAAGAGTCCTACTGTCATCTGCCACTGTCAGCCCTCTGCTAGCGTCTTAAGGTCAGTGTCGGGTAGTGGGATACAGAGACAAGCTGGATAGCTTGTAGAAGGCGGCAAGCAGCACAGAGAAGGGCCAGGAGCCCAGAGGAGAGAAGCCTCAGATGGGGGGCCATGATATCTGGGCTGCCGTGTGAAGGAGCAAGCAGTCCTGTTCTGTTTGGCCCCAGGGGGAGACCCAGGAGCTGCAATGGAGGGGAACTAGAGAGCTGTCCCAGTGCGGCCTAGGCCACCCCAAGAGGCGGGGGGTGGCCCCTCTCCGAAGCCCTTCAAGTGCACGTCAGGATGTTACTGTGAGGGTCCCTCCTGTGTATGGGTGAGGGCAGAGGGCGCTCAGGCCCCCAGTCAATGCCCTCCTCCTGACCAGCTGAGACAGAGGAAGCCCCTGCAGGTTCTGGCACACAGGGTCCTCGATTTCCCAAAGGGCCATGGCCCTAGGACATGAGCCCGTTGTCGGAAGGAATGCCCTCAAAGTGGCAAGGGACTGGTCAGTATTAGGGGGACTGGAGGAAACTCACCCCAGGAATGCCCACCTCCAGCTGCAAGCTGGCCGTGATTCACAAAGTGGCCTGGACCCGCCTGAACAACTCGCCACATTCGTGGTCACTGGCCATCCTTTGGCTGGGCACAAACCCCAAGGACAGCCACGGAGGAAAGATAGGCCCTCTGGGGCCTCCAAACTGGCAGCACCACTAATGGGATGAAGGCGGCCTGGACACGCCTGGAGGCTCCCAAGCTCTACCTCTGGCAAAGAGCGGGCTGGGAGAATTCGCGACCCACTCTGGGCACTCGAGCCCATGGGCCACCACGCCTGCCCACCCTAGGAGGGCCCTCCTGGGGGAGGGGCACCTACCTGCACAGCTCTTCCCTTTGGCCAGCAGCCACTGGTCCAGCTGGAGCTCCATGCACGACAGACCCATGAGCATCATGTCCTGGGGCAAAAAAGCACAGCAAGGCCTGCTAGGCAGCACATGGTGGGCAGGGAGCAGGCCAACCCCCCAGGCAGAAAAGGAGACCACAGATGGGTAGATGGAGGGAGGGAGGGACGGACGGAGGGATGGGTAGAGAGAAAAAAAGATGGATGGATGTATGGAGAAATGGAGAAATAGAGGAATGGGGGGATGGACAGATAAATGGAAAGAGGGAAGGGTGAAGGGACAGAGAGACGGGCAGATGCACAGACAGAGAGATAGACAAAGAGAAGGAAAGATGGATGGATGGACAGAGAAATGGAAGAATGGGGGGATGAGGGATCAAATGATAGATGGAGGGATGGGCAGATGGACAGACAGAGGGATGGATGGATGGATGGACGGATGGATGGACGGAGGAATGGAGGAATGGGGGATGGACAGACAGATGGAAGGAGGGATGGGCGGATAGCTAGATGAAGGCCTGCATGCGACAGTGATGAACTCGCTCACCCTGTGCATGGGCCTTCTGCCCCTGCTTGGTCCAGGCAGCCCCCCCAGGGCCCCCATTCCTTCATCCACTCTACTTGGTCGTCCCCTTTTCCTTTCTGAATGTGCCCCATCCCAACAAAGTAACCAAACCCTCCCTGCGCCTGACAGTGTGTGCCATGGCCTGGGCCCCACAAGACCCCACCTGGATGGGCAGGCCCTGCCCCTCACGGAGCCCCCACTCAGTGCCCAATCACGCCCTCTCATGTCCCTTCCAAGGCAGGCCCCATGCTGGCCTGACCAAGCACCCTGCTTAACCACCACCATGGCTCCCTACTGCCTCCCTCGATGAGACTGCCCCCTCCTGCCCAGCCAGCCAGCTTCCTGCTCTACACACACACACACACACACACACACACACACACACTCACACAATACAGTTACACAGTCAGTTATACACCCACTTGCTTGCACAGAATTACACACTTGGCCCCACTCACATAGACGCACACATTCACCCACACACATGTTTGCACACTCACACGCACATACACAACACTCCAGCTCCCATCTCTGTCCCTTTGCACTGACCACCCCACAAGCCAGGAATGCATCCCTTCCGCCTCTCAGAATTCCCCCTCCCTAAGGTGCAGCAGTTCAGGCTCCGGCCTCGCAGCCCGCAGCCCCCCGGCTCCCCTATCCCAAATGCCTCTCTTTATGCCAGAGGATCTACAGGGCTAGTGCTCCTCACTGTCTCCCCTGCGTTGGACCATTAGTGCCTTCTGAGAAGAGGAGATTTCAGTCTCTATACTTGTATCCCAGTGCCTAGAGCACAGTAGATGCTTAATAAATGCTGGTTGACTGATTCTTTTCTGTACAAATACTCCTCTCCCCTTAAGATGCAGCTCAGGTATCTCTCATCACCTGAGGGAGGAAGCAAGAGCTGGGAGGGAAGAAACAGCTCTGTTCCAGAGGAGCATGGAGCCAGCCAAGGGAGACGAGGGTCGGCATCCCACGGGAGACAAAGGAGGGCGAGAGGGAACCACTGAGGGTTCAAACCACTGGAAAGGGTAGGGAGTGTGACCGATGGAGCGTTCAAGGAGTCTGGGAGGCCAGGAAGAAGGGACGCGGCAGCTAACAGGGGAGGTTACAGAATAAGCAAAAGGAGTCACAAAACTCACGTGGAAGAGCAAAGGGTCAAGAACATCGAGGGAATCAACATAAAGGAAGGTGGCCTCGCCGCACGGATAAAAACAATCCAGGACTGGCTGAGAAACAGAGGCCTGGACCAGTGGGATAGATGAGGCTCACAAGGCGGGGCAGCAATGACCATGTTTTAATATCTAGTGTTTGAGAGACCCAAAGATCCAAGCTGTTGGGACAGGAAACCACCACCTGACAAAAACCGCTAAGAGAACTGGAAAGCCATTTGGCAGAAACTAGATCTAGACCAACATCTAACACCACATACCAAGATAAGGTCAAAATGGGTACACGCGTCAGACGTAAAGGGTGATAACATAAGCAAGTAAGAGGAGCAGGAAGGAAATTACCAGTCACACCTATGGAGAGAGGGAGAAATCATAACCAGACAAGAGACAGAAAGGCCCACAGGAGGTAAAATGGACAATTTTCATTAAATTAAATTAAAATACATTACACAAACAAAATCACTGCAGCTCAAAATTAGAAAAGCAGGAAGCAAGGGCAGAAATTCTGGCAGTAAATTTCTCTGATAAAGGCCTCAGTTGTCAAATATATAGGAACCAAGTCAAATTTACAAAAATAAAACCCATTTATAATTAACAAATAGTCAAAGCATATGAAGAGGTAGTTTTCAGGGGAAAAAATCCAAGCAATTAACAGTCAAATTAAAAAAAGCTCTAAATCACTACTGACCAGAAAAACATAAACTGAAACAACTCTGAGGTATCGCCTCACATCTATCAGATTAAATAACATGACAGAAAAGGAAAATGACAAATGCTAGGGAAGGGATGTAGGAAAATAAGGACTTTAATGCACCATTGTGGAGTTGTGAACTGATCCAACCATTCTTCAGAGCAACCTGGAACTCTGCCCAAAGGGCTATAAAATCGTGCATAACCCTGTGACCCAGCCATACCACTACTAGATCTGCATCCCAAAGAGATCAAAGAAAAAGGAAAATAACCTCTCCGTACAAAACCACTGAGAGCTGCTCTTTTTGTGGTGGCAAAGAATCAGAGATTGAGGGGATGCCCATGAACTGGGGAATGTCTGAACGAGTGGCATATTATTGTGATGGAACTCTATTATGCTGTAAGAAGGGATAAGCAGGGTGCTTTCAGAAAACCTGGGAAGACTTCTATGAACTGATGCAGAGTGAAGTGAGCAGAACCAGGAGAACGTTATACACAGCAACAGCGACGCTGTGTGATGACTGACTTTGACAGACTTGGCTACCCTGATAAAGACAATGATCCAGGACAATTCCAAAGAACTCACAGAGAAAAACGGTCCCCACCTCCAGAGAGAGGACTGATGAAATCTGAGTGCAGACTGAAGCAGATTTTCCTCTATTTCCTTCTTTTACTTGCCTTTTTGAGGACCATGGATAATGCAGAAATTTGTTTTGCATGACTATACATATTTGTGATGGGTTTTGTTTTTCTAGCCTTTTTAATAGCTGGAGGACGGAAAGAGAGAGAACTTAGAACCAAAAATAAAATAAAATAGATTTTTTTAAAAGGATAAACTTCTCATTTCCATAGAGCAACTGATTCAAAATTATGACACAGCTAATCCCCAACTGTGATTGGGTCAACAGACAGTTCTCAAAAAGAAGAAACCCAGACTATCTAGAACTACATGAAAAAAAATCACTCCAAAAATCGCTCCAAATCACTAATCATTGAAGATATTCAAACTGAAGTAATTCTGAGTTTGCACCTCGCACCCATCAGAATAGCAAAGACAAGAAAAAAGAGAAATGCTAACCAATGGAGGAGTTATGAGGACATACCCAAGCAATAAACTCCCTGAAAATAAGAATGGACCAAATAGGAGCCAATGACTCTGTGAGACAAGAAGAAATACAAAAACAAAGTCAAGACTGAAAAAATAGAAGAAAATGCGAGGTATCCCCTAGCAAAGACAACTGCCCTGGATAACCTGAATGCCACAACCAAAAAAAAAAAGAGCCGGGCATCATATGTTAAAAAATCCTAAGAGAAAACTGCCAGGAATATTCCAGTCTTTCAGACCCAGAGCTTCCAGGTCAAAGAGAAAGGACCGCCAGCCAGGAGACACAACAGAAGAATTTGAATTCTGAGGAGCCACAGTCAGGTTCATATAGGATTTGGCAGCCACCACTATGCAGAAGCGGAGATCTTGGAATACAGTCTTCCAGAAGGCAAAGGCTATGAACTTACAACCAAAGATGACTTATCCAGCAAAACTGAGTATAACCCCACAGGGGCGAGGAGGGGAAAGGAACTGGATTCCAAGCATTCCTAATGATAAGACCAGGGCTTATCTTGACACCTGTGTTTGACCTTCAAATGTCTTACACGGGTGTCAAGAGAAACATAAAAAGATAAACATGAATGAGCAGAAATAAATAGGGATAAATTGTCTATATCCACATATGGAGAGATGATCCATGAGTCTCTTCAGAGCCATATCTATCATCATCAGAGTGCACAGAGGGAGTCTAGTCAGACAAAGAAAGCCTGAGAGTGGATCTGCTATATTCTGAGAATCTTAAACAAAAATGGAAATGGAAGAGAAGGAAGACATTTGGGGATGGGGGAGAAGGTTAAGGGAAATTCTTACACCTAATCGGGGTGCACAAGGAGACATCCATACAAATAATGAGGACAAGGGGGGAGGGAGTGGCTAACACCACAACTTCCCTCTCATCTCAACTGGTCAAAGGAGGAGGAAGAAGCACGTACACACACAATGGGAGTACAGAAAAACATTTCAGTCAATGGAGAAACAGGAGGAAAAGGGCAGAAGGGAGAATTCAAGGGAAGAGGGTGAAGGGAGGGGTGAGTCCTGAGCAAACCAACTCTAACTCAGGATGTACAGAAATACTGACAGCTCCACGCGCAGCAGCCAAGAAGGGAAGTACAAGCAGGGCCCCAGTGTGGCTGACTGCTGAGCAAGTTAGGCTCAGTCAATGACTAGTTTTCCTTTCCTTCTTAATTTGGGGGGTGGTGGAAGAAGGGTGAGAAGGTCAACTTTTGCTGATTGAAAAAAATTAAATTAAAAAGAATGAAATGAGTAGATCCAGTGACACATCTTGTACTGTAACAAGCACCCCATCAAGGCCAACAAGTGGGGGAGCTGAAGATCTCCAATAAGCACAACAGCCCCCCCGAGGTGCCAGGCCTGACAAAGGGACAAGCTCTCTTCTCCCTTCTCCGCCCCCCACCCCACCAAAAGATGAGGGGGGGGTAGCTTCAGGGTATAGAGTGAGAGGTGCCACCGCCACTTGTTCTGTTTGACTACGCATGTGTGCTACAAGGCATTTCTTTTGTTTTATTTTAGTCTTAATTTTCAATGCAATGGGAGATAGGAAGGGAAAAATAGATTTGTTATCTAAAATTTTTAATTTTGAGAACATTTCAAAAAAGAAAAGGCAAATTGTAAAGGATGAGATAAAAATGGGGGAAGAGAAGCCCCAAAAATTGGGCACAGGAGGCAGCAGGTGTAAAGAGAAGGAATGCTAGGAAAAGGGAGGCTGCTGCATCTGGGAGCGGAGCAGGGAGGGTGGCCTGGCAGAGCCAGCAGGGTCAAGGCCAAGGGTGCCTACAGGTGTCAAGGAAATAGAGGGAGGGAGGGTAGGTGAGAGGGAGAAGGGGAGAAAAAGGGCAGGAGGGAGAGGAGGGAAGGAACAGACGGAAGAGACACAGGGAGAAAAGGAGACAGACGGAGGGAGAGAGAGGAAACGGGGAGGGGGAAAGAGAAGAGAGACAGGCAAAAACAAAGACACACAGAGAGAGACAGACTTGAGCTCCCAGAGGAGATATGAGACAGGACAGGATCAGGGCACGGGGGGCAAAGGGAGGAGAGCCCCTCAGGGCTGAGGCCAGATCACCACCATTCTCTCCAACAAGGAGGAAGGGCCCTGGCGGAGAGAGGGTCACAGGGAGGGGACACAGGGCCCAGCTGAGGCCCAGCAGAGCAGACAGGCCCTGAAGGGTGTGCCCAGGGCCAAGACCCTGGCTGCCAGACCTAGGCCATGCCCATACCTTGATGTGCTGGTCACTGCAGTCGCGGAGCAGAGGGTTCGGCAGGCCGCTGCTGTGCTTTCGCCAGCTGCTGTAGATGCTGAGGACCACCTGGCCCAAGCCCGGGGGCCACTTCACCAGGAATTGCAGGCTCATCACCTTCAGATACCTCATCATCAGCTCCAGCAGGCCCCCGTTGTTCATGTTGTCCAGAAGAAACTTGTGCACGTCCTGCTGCTCTGAAGAGAAAGTCATTCCCCTCCAACGTGAGAGGAGTCTCCTAGCTGGCCTCTCCCTGAGGCCAGTCAGGGCACAGCCTGAGGCCCAGAGCCCAGAAGAGAGCAGCTCTCCCGGCCGGGGTCTCCCACAGCCCAAGACCCAGGCTCAGAGAGACAGCAGCTCTCCCTGCTGGGATCTCCCAGGGGCTGGCCCAGGGCTCAGGGCCCATGAGAAAGCAGCTATCCATGCTGGCACCTCCTAGGGGCCACTCGGGGCCCATGGATAGTAGCCTTCACTGCCGGGATCTTCCAGGGGCAGGCCCAGGGCTCAGGGCCCATGAGACAGAGGTGCTCCCTGCCCACCCACAGGTCAGCTTAGCAGCAAACTTCAAAGCCAGCCAGTCTGTAGTGAGGGAAGGGCCCCTGGGAGGGCCATAAGGGCCCAAAACTACCCTGTGCCAAAGGAACATGGAAACCAAGAAGGGACAAGAGAAAACAGACAAGCAGGGCAGAGCAGGCGGCCAGACTCCTACCTGATTCCACGAACGTGGTAGAGTCAAAGGACAGTCTGTGCGTGCCCACACTGGGGAAGTTCTCCTGCTTAATTTCTGACTGGACCTCATAGTTACCAAAGGGGTCATCCTCCTCCTCGGGGTCCAGTTTTCTTAACCTGCACAAACACATCCCAGAAGTCTGAGTCAAGGAGAAGGTCCACCCCAGCTATCACTGCTCTCTCGGAAGGGACACAGGGATCAGGGGCACTCTCAGAGAGAAAGGGGGCATCACCAAGCCCCTGGGCCCACCACTCCTGACCTTGGGCCATTTGCTGACCCTACCCAGGAGAAAACTTTTGCTCTGTCAACCCTGAAATACTTCTCTTTCTCCCTCTCTTTCGGGTCTCTGTGCTCCAGAAGCCTAGCTTCCCTCTAAAATGAGGCCCTGCACAACGAGCAGCCACCCCCAGGCGGACAGCCATCCCATACCGCCCACCGCAGGCTGGACACTGCCCTGGGGGGGCTGGAGGCAGCTCCACCGCACAGGGCCAAAGTGGAGCTCATCACCTCCCTCACCAGCCCAGGCTCAGAACCTCGCAGAGAACGGCTCTCTGAGCGTGGGGAGCGGGGAACGCACTGATCTAAACACAAAAGGCATCCATAACAACACATTTCAAAAGAAGAGATGAAAGCTGACAGATTTTTCCCAATTTTCAGGAGTTTATGGTTCTTTCCAGATTCACCCCTAAAAGACTTTACAATGGGTCTCTGGACAAGCTTTCTGTTGAATCTGCAATGCCTCACAATGAGCCACTAGGGGGTGCGAGCCTGGCATCAGGGAGACCCGAGTTCAAATCCAGCCTGCCACACTTACCGGCTGGTTAACCCTGGTCAAGTCAGTTACCTTTTGCTTGCCTCAGGTTCCTCATCTGTGAAATGGTCAAGAAGACAAAATGACCAAACCTAAAAGAGCTCTATCTATGCCAGTTGTTACTAAACTGAGATTAAATAAGCATCACAGCTACACATTTCCACCACAAAAGGGTCCCAAGGAGAGACCAGCACATCGTCCACAAGCCCTTTCTCAGTCCAGTCCAGCATTTGATGTACGTGGCCCCTCTCTCTATCCCGGAGTCCTGCACCATCAGTTCCATCGGTGGGCTGACCCAGTGTCTGCGGCCTCTCGGTCTGCCCGGCCCTCGCCAAGTGGAAGGCAGAATATTGACTGTCTTCCTTTTTTTTTTTTTTTAATTTTTATTTTCAGTTCCAAATTCTCTCTCCTTCCAACCCCTCCTCCCAACCCCTCCTCCATCCATTGAGAAGGTAAGAAATACAATGATACCCATCATCCATATGAAATCCTGCAGAACATTTCCACCATAGCCACGTCGAGAGAAAAAAAGGAGAAATGTCTGCATTCCCCTGCACTCGGGGTCCACGAGTCCCTGCTCTGGAGGCGGCCACGGCACCGCTAAGAAGAGTGAAGTCATTCCCAGTTCTTCGCTGTACGATGTCGCGGTGACTGTGTACAACGTTCTCCTGGTTCTGTTCACTTCACTCTGCATCAGTTCACATGAGTCTTTCCAGGTTTTTCTGAAATCCTCCTGCTTGTCATTCCTCATAACACAACAGTATTCTATCACATCGTATACCACGACTTGTTCAGCCATTCCCTCGATTTCCAATTCGTTGCCACTACAGAATATGCTGCTATAAATATGCAGATGTCCTTTTTCTTTTTTTCCCTTTAATCTCTTTGGGTACAGACCTACTGGGGGCATTGCTAGGTCATAGGGCATGCAGTTTGCTAGTCTTTTTGCCACGGTTCCAAATTACTCTCCAGAATAGCTGGGCCAGTTCACAACTCCACCAACAGTGCATGAGTGTCCCAACTTCCCATCTCCCCTCCAAAAGAGTCACAGGTGCCAGGTGGCACCTCAGAGCTGTCTTAATTTGCGTTTCTCTAATTAATAGTGATGTAGAGCATTTTTTTTTCATATCTATGGATAGAATATCTGCTTTGAAGGGGTATGGTAACACCTATGAGAGCGAGAGGATAGCTTTTATTACGGCCCAAGGTTCCTAAGTCTGGTGTGAAGGCCTCTCTCTCCTAGTCCTAGAGCTGTTGAATTTACCCAAGTCTCCCTTTATTCTGGCAGCTCTGCTCAGCTGAGGACCACTGCGACAGAGGACGTGGGGGAGCGCTTCATTTGATGGTGCACGCTGACGACAGGGCCAGGCTCTGCGAATGAACCACTCATCCCAGCAGATCTTCGATACCTTCTCCCCTCCGTCAAGGGCCCCCAGGAGGCCACTCATTTACTCTGTACTCCTCGGAGCTTTGAGCCAGGAATCAGGAGGCTCCCAGGACCAGGGCCCTGGCTTCCACGTCCCTCTCCTGTACAGCCATCTGGATAACTGGCCAGCTTTCCAATGGCGGGTAACATCTGACCCTGATCCTCAGTGTCCCCGGGAGAGCATCCCCAGGAGAATGGCCCTGATCGGCCGCGGGGGGAGGAGCAGCCACCGCTTATTGTCCTTTTAATTGGCTTGTCCAGACTAGGACGAGGGCAGCACCTGCGTCTCTCTTCCACGAGCTTCTAAGTCTGCCCTTCACCGTCCCCTCAGACAGAGCCGCTGCGGCCTGCAGGCTGCGTGGAGTCCCCCAGTCGGGCCCTTTGCCGAGGAGCGCCTGGGCCGCCATCTCCACTCTCCAAATCCCTGTTCCTCTGGGTCACTGTTGCTCTTGACCTTCCTCTGTACAGATCCACAGTCTGACCGTCATCACCTCCACTAGCACCATGCTGACTGATCACCCCAGGCTCGCACTCCCAAACACTCCCCACAGAGCCGCCTGATGCCGAGGCCTGGTGGGATCCGAGGATCCAATCCAGCTGCCGCATCGGCTGTCCCTTCCTACTCATTTCCTCCCCCTTCCCTCCTGGGTGCAGCCCAGGAAGCCTTCCCTGTCTCCCCCTCGGTCAGTGATCTCCCCTTCTCAATTAACCACCATCTATGGCCTCGTGTGACCCATTGGTGCATCGGCCTTGCTGCCCAAGACCTCAGAGGACAGACGCTGGCTCACTGTTGTCCTCATGGGCCAGGTGCCCAGCACAGTGCGGGCACACAAGGAGCAGCGACACACACTTCTCTGTGCCCGTGACCTAGCCCTACAGAACCTTGCACCGAGGAGAAAGGCCAATTCTCACGCCTCCATCACCTGAGTGCTACCGGTGGTGTGAAGGGAGTTGGCCTTCTAGACTGACTGACCCCCAAAGCCAGCGAAGGCCCATCTTCCGCCATCCCACCTCACCGTCTCCCCGGGACGGCGGGCCCCACTGCCGCCACCTCTATCACAACCCATCCCTCCTTCACATCACCTTGAAGCCCCTCCCTGCCCATATGGAGGCCCCGCACCCCGCCTCCATAGTGACCTTTCCCTGACCCAGAGTCGACTCCCCAGGCCCAGCCTGACACAGTACAAAGTGCACTCAGGAAGAAGAGACAGATGGCCTGGGGGGCGCATAGCACACACACGCGGCCTCCCCACTGAGGGTCAGCCCCCAGGAGGGATCCTCACGGCATCACTAGACAAGGACGGGTCTAACGCGGAGGCTCGGGGAGGAAAGGACTTAGCCGGGGTCCCCCACAAAAACAAGCCCCTCCTCCCTGTGTGTCTCCCCCCACCTTTGGACCGGTGACAGGGGCCACCTGGCTGCTCCTCCCCCACACACCTAGACCCACACTGCTGGTGCTGACCAGGTGCTCCCTGAGGGCAGGGGCTGCAGGCACATTTGCAGAGAGAAGCCCAGAGCATCGGGGCTGGCTCACTGCCCTAGGGATGGCACCAGGTGGCAGGAAAGGGGCCGCCCACCCCTCCCCCGTCCATCAGTCTGCCCCCGGTACCTGGGCGGCAGGAACTTCAGCAGCAGTTCCTGGAAGTCAACCTTCTCCTCCTTCTTACACTTGGTGTTGCGGACACGTGCAGACCGTCTCTTGGCCGTCTCCCCGCTCTCCTCGGCCATCGGCCTCTTCCGCTTGACGCCCTTCTTGGATTTGTCCCCCCCAGAAGCGTCCCCTGTGCAGCCAAGCCGGCGGTCAGAGCGGGCCGTGGGCAGGGCAGCACGCCCAGGGAGCACTCAACATGCATACCACGCACGCATACTCACATGCACCACACCGAGAGAAATGACTCAGAACCCATGCCTCAGGGAGATCCAGAGTTTCCCCCGTTTTCTAACGTCCTGATCCTAAAAAGTTCAGTCTCCTGAAGGACGTTGCTGAGAATGAGAGTGGACAAACTTTCTTGTTCAGACCCCCCAGAGGAGCAGCTCTGGGGCACTGCCCCAGGCTGGGAGTGGTCTGGGCGTGGGGGAGCCGCTCTGTCCAAGGGGGACATGATGTCACTCTCAGTCCCTCAGTAACTGTTGTCCAATCAGGGCGGAGTGCCACCCTCGTTAGCAGGGCATGTGAAGCCGCCATGATGGTCTCTGAGCTAAGAGAGACGGCCAAAGGACCGTCCTTTCATTAACAAATGCGCTGGCCGTAGCGATAAAATGGCTACATTACCCAGAAACCGTGTCTGTCAATCCTTTTTAATCGCCACCACACACACACACACACCACAGACACATACGCCTACACACCATACTAACACTCACCATATATACCTTCCCACACACAAAAGACGTATACACACAGTCACCACACATACAACATACATCTCATACACACACCACACACCTGCAGACACACTTACTCATACGTACCAGACACACACACACACCACAGACCCATACACATACATACCACATGCACACACTAGACACACTTATGGACCACATACACATACCACACATGCCACACAATTATACACACAGGCACATACACACACATACTTCCTGACTACGTGACCCTGGGCATGGCCCTTCACTTAACCAAGCCTCAGTTTCCCCCATGGCCCACCGTAAGACAGCTCCCACAGAGCCTTAGAAACATGGGTTGTTATCATTCTCCAGAAAGGAGGGAGGTTCGTTTCCAACAGGGATTGAGGACACTCCCAGCCCTGGGGGGGATGCTCCCCCACCCTGGCCCTGTGAGGGTCCCAAACAGCCCCCCGCCCACCCTCTGTCAGCAAATGCTCAGAGCCAACTCACCTAGTGGAGCTACAGCCTCCAATAAGCTCTGGCTGGGGAGAGAAAAACTGGACGCCACGGCAGTGTAGGGGAACAGTGGCTCTGGCGCTGAGGCCACAGCAGGGGGGGGTAGGGGGACACTGACAGCGGCAGAAGGCAGGGCGGGTACGGAGAGCGCAGCAGGGTCTCGGTACTCCGAAAGTTCGATTCTCCTGCCCAAGCTGGGCTGAGGGGGCTCACAGGACGTGAAGTGGGCATAGGTGGCCAGCAAGCTCTCCCCGAGACACTTCCACCTGGTCAACAAGAGGCAAACCCAGAGCAAGCCCCATCACAGCCAGGTCCGGCCCCCAAGGTGCCCGCCTGAGGCCTCTCCAAGAAGGAGGCTAGGCCTGGCTCTGCTCCTTCACACGAGGGTGTCGGGAGGAGACACTCCTCTCCGGTGTTCCCCCTCGCCACTCCCCGTCCCCAGATTCTGAGCACAGCCTCCAAGGGGCCGCAGCCCCGCTGCCCATCCCCTTGATGGTGATCGGCTGCCCGGCCCAGGGAGCAGCCCTTTGTGGGTTCAGAGACGGGGAGGGGCAGAGGGGCAGGCCTAACTTTGGGGCTCCTGCCATCATGGCGCATCCTGGGAACCAGCACTTGCTGGCACTGCGTCATGGATTCTCCCTGGTGGGGAGGCCCTATCTCTGTTTTTACTCAAGTGACCGGTCCAAGAGATCAACAGCCGCAGAGGCATCGCCCGGGGGGGTCAGCGAGGGGCCCCCTCATGACCAGGGGTCCGCTCCCAGTGCACATCTTGATTCTGTTATTCAGGGTCCCGAGATCTTTCTCCCCAGCAGCACAGACAGGAGCAAAGGGAGAACTGAGAAGCTCTTTCTTCACAGGCAGAAAAGCCCCTGCCCCCAAGGGGCCTGCTGGGCAGCCGCGGCCCACCCTCCAAGACTGCCAAGGCCACTAAGGCACCTCGCCTGCCCCCGGGAGCACCTACGTGAAGAAGGGGATGGGCTGAGTCAGATGGAGGTCCGCCTCCTTCTCGCGCACCAGCAGCGCCTGCCTCTTCTTGCGCAGGTCCAGTGCCTCATCAATAATGGCCTTCGTCTCCGCGGCGCTCACAGTCACAACATGGATCGACATGTCACTGGGACCCAGGCAGAGAGGAAAGACTGGGGTGAGGCGGAGGTCCACAGGGACCCCTTCGGGCCGCCTCAGTCCGCCGCGCACCAGCTTCTGTGGGCGCAGGCCTTCACACTAACCCCACCCTGGCTTATTCAGAGCCATCTCAGCCTTGGGGAGGGGCCCTCAGGGGTGACCCTGCAACGCGCCATGAACCCCGACTCCTGGAGGAGAGGGGACCCCAAGCTCAAAACACTCATCCGGCAGACCCCTGAGTGCCCACTCCATGCAAGGCTGGCAGGGGAACCAAGTATCTGGAGGAAGAAGCCAGAGCTCGAGGTGCAGGCACAAGACGGGCTGAACACCACACGATGTGAGGTAGACCTGGGGGGTGGAACCAGGGGGCAGCAGGCGTGCAGAGTGGGGAACCAAACTCAAGAAGAACAGGGGTCTCCAGCTGGGCCTAGAACACCCACCCTCCTCGTCAGAGCCCCCAAGGGGGCGACTGAGGCACGGGAACAGCCATTGTCCCTGGAGGGAAGTCGGTGTCAAGCCAACAAGCACTTGGGAAGGACAAAGTAAGGAAGCGCAGGCCAGCCCTGCTGAGGTTGCCTGACAACCTCGCTTCTCAGGAGTGGCGGAAAGGAGGCTGGGGCCAGGCGTGATTCATGGGAGCAAGACAAGGAGGACGCAGGACAGAACCCCGGGGGACTCTGGAGAAAGCGCAGCTGGGCAGGGAGGAGAGGTGCACAAAAGCTTCGGAAGCTTCACTAGAGGAGGGGCCAAGAGGGCAGAGAAGCAGGAACGCAGGCACTCCCCCCCTGAACTCCACCAAACGTGGCCAGAAAACACCCCGACAATCCTGGTCGGGAGACCCAAGCAGGTCACAGTGAGTCAGCCCAGTGGGGCCCACCCCAGGGCACCCGACGCTCGTGGTAGGTGCAGATGAGGAGTTAGGGCAGGAGTCTCATGCCAAGAGACCAAGGGCAGCAGCATCTCACCCATGTCAGGAAGCGGCAGACACACTGACGCCCCAGCCTGCCCCAAGCCCTGACCTTGCCTCGCAGCAGCAGGCCCTAACACCAAGCCTGCAGAATGGGCAAACCCAAAAGGAAGGTCCCCGAGGAGCCCTCTGGGTGGCTGGGATGCTCGGGACACACACACAGAAGAACACAACCCACGCACAAGCACAACCAGACTTTCTGGAAGAAATGGAGCAAAAGGGGAGCAAAAGAGAAGTGAAAGGAGAGGAGCTGAGGGGAAAGAACGAGCCGGGAAAGGAACTCATGGCTCTGGGAAGGGGGCACAAAGCAGGTCCCAAAGGAATGGAGCCAGAGAAGCCACTGCCCACCCCTCAGAGGAAGCCCCAAGCATCCATCTAGCTCAAAGAAGGGCCACTGGCCAGCACCTACAGAGGAAGAAGACATGGGGTCCCGGTCAGCTCCGATCAGCATCCCCCAAGACTAAGCAGCCACCACCACGCAGGAGCAGAGAGCTGGGCACGTAAAACAGAGATGGGCCCTGGACGGAGCAGAGGACTTCTAAGCTATGCTGAGGAAGAGAGCAGAGGTGCGGAGAAACTCTGAGGCGCAAACCCAGGAGGGAAGGGGGGGAGAGGCAAGTCAACTGGAGTGACCAGGGATCAAGAATGAACAGCCTACTCCAATATGAGGCCCTTTGGAGCTCCATCTGCATCAGGGTCACAGAGGAGCCTGGGAGTAGGCCCACTGAGCTCAAGAACCGAAAGAGAGGGAAGAAGGGAAAATGCCCACTCAGCTGAGTTCAGAAATACATTTCACTCATCAAGGAAACAGGAAGAAAAGATGAAAAGGGGGTGGGGGAAATATAGGAGGGTAGAGTAAGGCAGGGATTAGTCCTAAACAAAACAAACTCTGTTGTTCAGCCCTTTCAGTCGTGTCTGATTCTTCTGTCCCCATTAGAGGTTTTCTAGGCAAAGATACGGGAGTGGTTTGCCATTTCCTTCTCCAGCTCATTTTACAGATGAGGAAACTGAGGCAAACTGGGTAAAGTGATTTGCCTAGGGTCATACAGCTAGGCTAGATCTGAACCCAGGAAGACGAGTCTTCCTGACTTCAGGCCTGGTGCTCTATCCACTGTGCCCCACAGCTGGCCACCAAGCTACCCAAAAACAAACTCGAAGGACATACAAAATATTTATAACAGCTCTTTTCATGGTGGCAAGGAAATGGTACCTGAGGGAGCAGCCAAACAAGGGCACACAAATGTGACGCAATGTTATCATGCCAGGGACGGCCTTAGAGAAGCCAGGGAAGATGTGGATGAACTGATGAGGGAGGTGAGCAGAGCCAAAAGAAACTTTCTACAAGAAGGATGACTCTGAGGATGAGAGGGCAAGAGGAGACAAGCATGTTGTAGACTGGGTTTTTGCTGGACTCTAATGGGGTTCGGTTCTTTCTCAAATTGGGGGGGAAGGAGAATGGAAATATGAACAAAGTGGACCTTTGCTGATTGAAAAATATTAGTTTTTTTCAAAGGCTCAAGAGGGCAGGGCAACGGGCATTGGCCAGTGTGACAGTCCTGGGGCCGGCTCCAGGAACCGGGCTGGGAGAAGGCCCAGGCCCTGGGGCTGAGGAGAGTCCACTTGGAGCGTGCACTGTCCCCACTCTGAGAGGGTCAGTGACAGTGCGAGCTGACCACCCAGGAGGTGCAGCGAGTGGGCTAAGTCTGGCATACTCGGGCTGGAGAAAGGATGACAGGAGCAGGGGCACAGAAGGGTAGTCAGCATGGAGAATGGATTTGGAGGACAGGGCCGGGGAAGGGCTGAGTGGGGACCAAGTATGGTGCGAGTGGGAAAGCTGAGCAGCCGTGCCAGGCCTGCACGGTCCCTCCAGCATGAGGGGCCCAGGAGGAATGAGGATGAACCTCTAGCAGCCCGTCCTCCAATTCCATAACCAACCTGGCACCAAAAGGACCTGAGACTCATGTTCTGCTGCTGACTGGGCCCCCTCTGCTATGGCATCTGGGATGGAACATGGGAGAAGGCAGTCCTGAAGGAGATTCCTGCAGAGGACGGCACTCAGCCTGGGGGTCCGAGCCAGGACAGAGAGGGCCTATAGGTGGACAAGCAGGATGAAGAAGAGCCGAGAGGGCGCGCCCCACGAGGCAGAGCAGCAAATGGCAGACTGAGACGCACTTCCCAACGCCGCCAGCCGTCCCAGCAAGGGCCCCCCGCCTGGGGGTCTACAAGCAGAGGCCGTACCACCCCACATCCTCGGTGCATGCAAACCCAGGTGCCCTGAGGGGTGCTCAGAGGAGAAGGGCAAGGTCAGGGGTCCCCGATCACATCCAGGACTTGAGGGAGAGAGAACAGGCCCCTTGAGGAGAGGTGACAGGAGAAAGGAAAGCAAGCAGAGCTTCTGAGCAGAGGCCACCATGGCTGACACGGCCTACCCTCCTACCCACCCACCCTGCAGAGCAAGGCAGGACCACGAGGCCAGAGCCAAGGGAACAGCAGACTTCAGAGGGCCACGCTGGTGGGTGAATGTCACCATGGTGGGAGGGCCTGCAGGGTCAGGCGCTCGAGCCAGGGGCAGGCGCTCGAGCCGGGGATAGGCAGGCACGGGGGGCAGGTGCTCAAGTTGAGGATAGACAGACAGGGGGGGGGCAGGTGCTCGAGCCAGGGACAGGCAAACATAGGGGGCAGGCACTCGAGCAGGGGACAGGCAGACACGGTGGGGCAGACGCTTGAGCCAGGGACAGGCAGACACGGGGGGGCAGGTGCTTGAGCCGGGGACAGGCAGACATTGGGGGCAGGCGCTTAAGCCGGGGACAGGCACACAGGGGGCAGGCACTTGAGCTGGGGACAGGCAGACACAAGGGGCAGGCACTTGAGCCGGGGTAGACACGGGGGGCAAGCGCTTGAGCCGGGGACAGGCAAACGTGGGGGGGGGCAGGCGCTCGAGCTAGAGACAGGCAGACATGGGGGTGCAGGTGCTCGAGCCAGGGACAGGCAGACACGGGGGGGAAAGGCGCTCGAGCCGAGGATAGACAGACATGGGGGGGCAGACACTCAAATTTGGGACAGGCAGACATGGGGGGGCCACTCAAGTCGGGGACAGGTAGACACAGGAGCAGGCGCTCAAGCCGGGGACAGGCAGACACGGGGGGCAGGAGCTCGAACTGGGGATGGGTGGCTGTAGAGAGCCAGGTGCTCGAGCCAGGTGACAGATGAGCAGAGAGGAAAGGCGCTTGAGCCAAATGGGCTGACAAAGGGACAGGTGCTTGAGACAGGGATGGGCAGACACAGGAGCAGGTGCTTGAGCCAGGGACAGGTGGGCACAGGGGGCTGAGGTACCATTTGAGGAACATGCGCAGGGAGTCCTTGCGGAGGCATGGCTGCTCCTGGAAGATCTTCTCCTTGAGCACCAGCCCTTTGCTGTACCTACAATCTTTCTCCAGGGCTTTGCAGATGAAATACAGGCCCGCTGCAGACAGAGAGGAGAGGAGATGGTCAGGCCCATCCCTGTGGCTCCAAACGTCACCAAAGGTAAAGCCGGGCACTTGAAGGTGGCTCAAGACAGTGGCAGGGGAGCGGGGTGCTTTCAATTCCGGGCCTTCTCTCTTCTCTAAGTCTCCTCGGCCCACGCCAGACACCTCCGAGGAGGCCTGGCCTCCTCCCTCATCACCATCCTGCCCCTCCAGCAGAGCCCCACGCACGGCGAGGCTTCACATCCCACAACCGGCACGCGTCACCCCCAGCTCTTCGGGCCTCCCTCCCACGCCTTGGCACCCCAGCCGGATGCCCCCTTCCTGGGGGTCTGCGTCATCAGAAGCTGGGAGGGGAAGAGCCAATAGGTGCAATTCCCTGAAATGGAAAAGCAGGTGCCCCGCTCCCCCCCAGGGTCTGCATTCAATCAAAGGAACACGGAAACAATAACTGGTCCCCGAGAAGGCCCACGGCTGCCTGAGACGGACAATCGTGTCCCAACGTTCAGATCTGACTGGGCTCTGGTAGGCATCACCAAGGTCCTGCTTAAACATCTCTAAGCAGCAGGGAGAGGGGGTCCAGCTCCCCAGCCACGCAGGGCAAGGGTCAAACACTGCTATAAGGTTTCCTCCCAGTTCCCACAACCGAATAAAGATTTTCCCGAGACCCACGACTGAACAGAAAAGGAACTGAGCCAGCTCCGGAACAGAGTCCCAAGACGGCACCAGTGTGGCTCCCCCGATTCCCACCCAGGGCTGTGTGATATGTGGAAGGTGCTGGGCACGATGCCTGGCACCTGCAGGTGCCACAGAAATGCTTCTTCCCTCTCTTCCCCTCTTTATTCTCTGCTTGAGGAATTACAGCCAAACAATCACGGACTGTGGGGCTTCTGGGGGCCCCAGAGCTGTGCCCCAACTTTTCCCTTGCCCTCGTGGGCCGCTCCCTGGCCCACCACTTCCCCACTCCTCTCACCTAGGAGGGGATCTTTGACATACGAATCATGGAGGATGGGTTTTTTACTCTTTTCTCCCATTGTGTTGGTAGCGTTTGTTGTTAGGGTTAGAGTTAGGGTTAGGGCTGCCTAGGGCTGCCTAAATGAAAAAGAAGAGACAAAACCCAGCAAGCAAAAACCAAGACAAGAACACAGGAACATGCTCTCCCACGCTGGCTGGTCTCGCACTGACCACTCAGCCACTGCGCCCACGTCCCTTCCTCTAAGACTTGGCAAAAGGCAAAAAACCCGCCGGCCTTGAGGACCGTGTCCTGCTGGTTGTACACAGCAGGTGGGAGAAAGGCACGAGAGCCAGGGCAGCCAGCACAGGCCCCTTGGACAGGGTGGCAGAGGACAGCCTGCCGGGTGTGGGGCGCAGCAGCACCCCCTCTTTAGCGAAAGGCCTCCAACCCGGCCTCATGAGGGAGGGGGAAGGGTGGACAGGTAAGCCACCTGTGGAGGACAGGCCGTGGGGGCCAATGACATTTCAGGGTGAGGCCCTGCCTCCCTGCTCCAGAAGGGGCAGGACTCACTGGTGTAGTCCCCGAGGGTATACAGGACGGTGATGAGGTTGTCCAAGCAGGGCCAGTGGTCTGGATTGCAGCGGAGCCCCTCCTCAAAGGCGTGGCGAGCCAGCGGGATGCACACCAGCTTCAGGGCCACGCGGCCAATCTTATACCAAAGGTTGACATCCGTGGAGTCCAGCATCACGGCCTAGAAACATGAAGACCGACGTGGCTGAAGGCTTGGCCATGGCGTATGTGCAGGGATGACTCAGAGCCTGGGACTCGCAAGAACCACTGTCACCCAACACCACCGAGGTCTACACAACATCTGCCAACATCTGCCCCAAGGCCCAAAGTTCCCGGGAAAAGGACAGTCCGCAGAAAAGGGGAAGGGTCTCTCTAATAAGCTGTCTAATTGTTCCAGGGCACAGAGACCACCTGCTCAGAGCTCCAGAGCAACGTCACAGGCCAGAAAGGAACACCAGGGGCCTTTCCAGTAAGACCAGGGGCAAAGCAAGGGTGTCCACTGGGAAAGAAAGACCTTGAGCAGAATGAGAAGAAGCCATGGAGGGAAAGGAGGAGATGATGGGAGGGGAGGAAGGGGAAGGAGGAAGGCAGCGTCAAAGAGTGCCTCACTCTGTGCCACACACTGGGCTAAGCACCTGACAAATACTATCTCTTCAGTCTTCACAGCAACCCTGAAACGTAGGCGCTATTGTTGTTCCATTTTACAGTTGAAGAAACTGAGGCAGGCAGAGGCGAAGTGACCTGCCCAGAATCGCAGGGCCACGAAGAGTCTGAGGTCGCATCTGAACTCAGGTCTTCCTGACTCCAGGCCCAGCCTGCCTCGGAAACTGAGCATGTTGTATGAGGCACACAGAGGGGATGGGGTACAACACTAGACAGGTGAACTGGGTTTTTGGCCATGAAAGGCTTTGACTTGTCGAGGCCAAACGGAACCACTGGAGGTGACTGAGCTTGAAGGAGATCCCTTTGGAGGCTGAGTGGAGGATGGACTGGAGGAGGAAGAGATTAAGACAGGCAGACTCCTCACCCTGCCAGCAACTACTGCCCTAGTCCAGGGGTGAGGAGATGAGGCTCCATGCCAGGGGGAGGGCAGCATCAGAGATAAGGGGGTGTACTGGACAGATGCTGCAGAGGTGATGTCAATAGGCCACGGTGCCATATTGGATCTGGGGGGTGAGAGAGCGAGGAGCCCAGGAGGATGGGGGTGCTCTCAACAGTGACGGCAGGAGGTAGGAGTCGTTTTGGACCCATCGAGTGTAAGATGTACACTGGATGTCCAGTTGGAGATTAATATGAAAGGCAGTTGGGACATTTGAGACTGGAGGTCAGCAGAGAGGTCAGGGCATGAGAGACAGATCTGAGAGTCATCAGCACAGAGATGGTCATTAAATTCATGGGAGGTGATGAGATCACCCAGAAAAGTAGGATAGAGGGAGAAGGGCAGAGGGCCCAGGACCGAACCCTGGGGGACACCCATGATGAGAGGGCCTGGCCTGGAGGAGGATGGAGATGGAGAAGGAGGGGCCAGAGAGGGAGGAGGAGAACCAGGAGAGAGAGGGGAGGATTTAGGAGGACAGAGGGATCCAGTGTCAGAGGCTGCTGAGAGGCCAAGGAGGATGAAGACGAAGAAAAGCCCATTGGAATGGGCATCTAAGAAGCCACTGATGACTTTAGAGAGGGCACTTTTGGTGGACTGAGGTCAGAAATCAGACTGTACAGATCATTAAGAAAGCATGAGCTGAAAGGAAGCCCCAGGTGCTGACACCTTTTTCCTGAAACTTAGCTACAAGGGACCACAGTCAGGGGCTGCAGGGATCGAGGGAGGGTGTTTGGAGGATGGGGGAGGCCTGGGCGTGTTTGGAGGCAGGAAGGAGGAGCCAGGAAGGGGCAGAGGGAGAAGAGAAACTGGGAGAGGGAGGGGACGGGGGGATCTTCGGGAGGAGACAGCACAGAAGGGATCAGCTGAGCAGGAGGAGGGGTCACCTTGGTCAGGAGTGAAGCCCCCTCATCATAGGAGGAGATGCTGATGGGAGACGAGGAGGAGGAGGGGAGAGGGGGAGCTCACGGCAAACGGCCTCGAGGGGGGCTGGGGAGGCGTGGAAGATGGAGAGAAAGCCGACACGGGAGGCGCGACAGGATAGCCCAGCAGGGCGGCAGGAGGGCCTGGTGAGGTGTGCGACATCACGTGGGTCTGTCTGCCCTCATCTCCCCCCACAGGCAGGAGCCTGGCGAGGGATGGAATCCATGCGGGTGACTGGGAGGAAGGGAGGAGAGAGCTGGGAAAATGGGGGAGAAATTAAGGAAAATGTGAAGGCAAAGCCTCTCCTGGCCCAGATCCTGGCCCCAAATCTACTTATGGAGTACGTGAGAAGCAGGACAAGGGGCACAAGAGGATGGAGGACAATGAGGAAGGATCACGGCGCCCAGCTTCAAGAATCCAGAGCAGTTCAGGCAACAAGGCAGAGCCGACTGATCAAGGGAGGCTGGGGGGGGGGCAGAGGGGAGTGAGGGGAGGAGGGGGCGGGGGGGCAAGAGAGGGGAAGGGGGGGCAAGGGGGAGGAGGCTGCTGCCCCTCTGAAGAAGGGCAGAGCCACGCCGGGAGAGGCCAGACAGGGGCAATTCTGGGCCCAGGGGTCTTCTGAGAGCTGCCACGGAGAAGCACAACAGAAAAGTGCCCAAGCCTCCTGGGAAAGGATGACAAGTGCCCACACGTGGAGGCTGCCGAAGGATGCCGAGAAGGCCAGCCTCCCAACCAGAACGGAGGCCACGGAGGGTGCAAGGAGAGCCAATCTCCCTTGTCACCGAAGACAAAGGGATGCAGAAGAAAACCACAGATTTGGGAGTGGATGGCTGGCTCCTAAGGAGCGCTCTGAGGACGAGATTGGGATGAAATGCCACCGTCACCAAGGGACAGGTGCGGCTCTGCCATGTTCTTCACCTGCCAGGGCAGAGCTTGGGAAGGCTCCCTATCACCAGAGCCGAAGGTGCCAGACGGGCCGGGCCCATCGAGGCACTAGTGGGGCTGAGCCAGACTAAAAGTCATAGGGAACACAGATTGCGGGGATGGGGTTTTCTGAGCCAATCTGCGTCTGGCCGCAGGGATCCCTGAACCCCCCCGCCCTCGACACACAGCCCCCAAGTGACCACAAGTCCCTGAGGCAGCGGGCGCTGCAGACGGACGTTACCTCCAAGTAGAGCTCCATGGCTGTTTCCAGGTCATCCCGCTGGGCTGCCAACTGCGCCAGATTCTTGTAGGTAGAATATTTTAGCATCAACCCAGGATGCTTCAAGCCCTCTCTCTCATCACCAGACAAAACCGCCTGAAAAGGAAATAAATACACACAAAAGCCAAGGATGACAACAGAGGAAACAGCTGGACGAGCTGGACAGCAGAATTCTCTGACCTGCTGACCTCAGGCACATTCTGCCCCCTCTGCAGGAGCCCTGGCCCACCCTGCGAGGTCCCAGAGTGAGCGCACAAGCGAGGCAGGCTTGGAACCCGCACCCTCCAATGTCAGAGGGACTCCAGAGCACACTCAGTGGGTCCGTTCTCCCCCGCCCGACTCCCCTCCCTCCCTGTCTGTCTGTCTCCTCCCCTCCACTCCCCTCCTTCATCCCTCCATCACTCTCTCTTCCTCCCTCCTTCCTTCCCTTCTCCCTTTCTCCCTCTCCCACTCATCTCTCTCTCCCTCCCACTCCCCTACCTCTGTCTCTCCCCCCCCACTACCTTCCCTGTCTGTCTGTCTGCCTGTCTGTCTGTCTCTCTTTCCCACTCCTCCTGGGCTTCTTCCCTGCCTCCCCTCCAACCCCTGATGTCTGTCTGTCTGTTTGTCTAATCACTGTTAGCCACAGATGAATGTCAAGCCTCCTCTTAGGTTCAAACAATCAATTTCACAAGCACAGGATGGTGGGGAAGGGGAGCCAAGCTTTGAGAACTGTATGAGAAAGATCCAGTAATGATGAGATTCCTTGGGAAGAGCCGGAGGTCTAGACTCTGAAGGGAAATGAAGAAGAAAAGGGTCCGAGCAGGGCCCGTCAGCAGGTAAAAAGCAGAGGGGTCGGTCAGTGGAGTACAGCAAGACCCCAGCTGTGGGGGATGTGTGGGGACAGCAGACAGCAGCCTGGCCAAAGTGAGGTGAGGGCCAGTGGCTCACACCGTCCATCAAGAGACTCTCCATGTGGGCACAGTACCTGGACACAAAAGGTTACGTCCTCAACAAATCAGAGGGGTGAGGAAGAAAGCGCCTGTCCAGTCTAGGAGTAGGAGAGGAGCTCCTGCCCACACAAGGGACGGAGCAGCAGAGAAGATGAAACAGACAATTTTCATCACGTAAACTAAAGATCTGTACAAAAATACTTACGGCCATTCTTTGTTGGGTGGAAGCTAACAAACTGAGACCCTGGACACCAAGGGGGAAAGGCGACATACCACTGTGGCCTGAGGATACCAGCGTGCCAGGTGGAAGGACCACAAGGACAGACCAGGAGAACAGCTTCTCCTGTAAAAACGGCTTACAGTATCTCAAAGCCATAAGCACGCTCATCACTGCAATCACCAGACCTGAGGACAAAGCCTGCCATCCCATTCGTCTCTGCTCAGGCAATCTCCAATCATCCAATAATCCTACGGTTTGTACCAAGCTGGGTCCATCTTAGGTGACTGCCTCAATGGGTGGGGGGAGGGTCCTAAGATTCCCCCCGGCGCCTTCTGCTAGCGGCAGCGAGTGTTGGGACCCAGCGTCTGCAGGCAGAGGGCTCACGCTGCTTCCTCTGCCCGGCAATATTAGAGCCAAATTCCAGAGCTCCCAGGTCAAAGGGAAAATATTGCTATTGAGATCGTTCAAATACCATGGAGCCACCGTCAGGATCACATAAGATTTAGCAGCCACCACAGTAAAGGAATGGAAGGTTTGGAATATGATACTCTGGAAAGCAAAGGAGCTAGGATTGTAACCAAGAATCACCTACCTAGGAAAACTAAGTATAATCCTTCAGGGGAAAAAACAGATATTTAATGAAGTAGAGGACTTTTAAACATTCTTGATGAAAAGACCAGAGGTGAATAGAAAACCTAACATTCAAACAAAGCATAAAAGGTAAACAAGAAAGAGAAATCACAAGGGACTAACTCATTAAGGTTCAACTGTTTACATTCCTATATGGGAACGTGATACTGCAGCTCTTCAGAACTTTCATCACTAGAGGTCTTAGAGGGAGTCTAATTAGGCAGAGGACTTGGGTGTGATTCTATTATGTTCGGTTCAGAAGACTGGAGAGATGAAGAAAGGATGCACTGGGAGAGCGGCAAGGAAAGAGGGAGAACAGGAAAAATTATCTCCCACAGAAGAGGCATACAAGGAAGAGTTTATACATCTGAAGGAAAAACAGGGAGAGAAGACTGGCTGCCACTTGAACTTCACCTTCATCTAAACTGGTTAAAGGAGGGAAGAATGCACATACACACCCAGCTGGGTACAGAGATTCATCTAGTGGGGGAACCTCAACTTTCCCCACCCAGAACTTTATAAATCTAACCATAAAATAAACAAGAAAAAAGTTAAGGAGATGAACAGAATTTCAGAAAAGTTAGATGACAGACCTCTGGAGAACATACAATGGAAATAGAAAGGTATACACCTATTTCTTAGCTGTGTGTGGCACCTTTACAAAAAATTGACCATGTGTTAGGGTATAAAAACCTCACAAGCAAATGCAGAAAAGCAGAAATATAAAATGTGCCTTTTCAGACCAAAATACAATAAAAATTACATTCAATAAAAGGCCTTTGAAGCATATATTAAAGATTAATTGGAAACTAAATAATCTAATCCTGAGGAGTGAATAGGGCAAAGAACAAATCATAACAACAATGAATAATTTCATTAAAGGTAATAACATCAATGAGATAACATACCAAAATTTGTGGGATACATGAAAGCAGTACTCAGGGGCAAATGTACATCTCTAAACATTCATATCAATAAAAGAGGGAAAGAGTAGGTCAACAAATTGGACATTCAACTAAAAAAAAACTAGATAAAAAAAGCTAGAAAAACAATAAATTTTAAATTCCCAACTAAACATCAAAATGAAAGTCCAGAAAATTAAAGGAGAGGTTTTGAATAAAATTCAAAGTCAAAAAGTCATTGAACTAAAAAATAAATCTAGGAATCGGTTTTATAGAAAAACCAGCAAAAGATAAAACCACTGTATAATGTGACTTTTGTAAAGTAAGAAGAAAACCAAATTACCCATATCAAAAATGAAAAGAGTGAATGCACCACCAATGGCGATGAAATTAAAGCAAATATTTGGAGACATTTTGCCCAATTCGATGCCAGTAAAACTGGTAATCTGTAAAAAGGATGAATATTTACAAAAATATAAATTGCCTGGATTAACCAAAAAGGAAATATAATACTTAAATAACCCCATCTTAGAAAAAGAACTCGAACAAGCTGTAAATGAGCTGCTTAAGAAAAAATCCCCAGCATCAGATGGATTCACAAACGAATTCTACCAAATATCTAAAGAATAACTAATTCCACTACTATATAAACTATTTGAAAAAATAGATAGAGGAGTCATGCCATATTCCATCTATGACACAAATATGGTTTTAATACCTAAATCAAGAAGAGTGAAACCACAGAAAGAAAACTATAGGCCAATTTCCTTAATGAATATCAATGCAAAATGTAAAATAAAATACTAGCAAAAAGACTACAGCAATAAACCACAAGGATCATATATTCTAACTGGATTCATACCAGGGATGCAGGGCTGGTTCAAAAGAAGAAGAAACGATCAACATGATTGACCATATCAGTATCAAAAACAACAAAGATCATATGATTAAAGCTATAGATGCTGAAAATAACTTTTGACAAAATACAACACCTATTCTTTTTAAAAACACTAGAAAGCATAGGAATAAATGGAGCTTCCCTCAAAATGATAAGCAGTATCTACCTAAAACCATCAGCAGCATTATCTGTGATGGGGATAAGCTAGAAGCCTTCCCCCAAGATCAGGATCCAAGGATGTGCATCATCACCACGATTACTCGATATTGTACCAGAAATGCTACAACAGCAGCAAGAAGAGAAAGAGAAGCTGAAGGAATTAAAAAACGGGCAGAGAAGAAATAAAACTAACCGCTTTACAGACGATATGGTGGTATACTTAGGGAAGCAACTAAAAACTACTTGAAATAAAAGTTGCAGGACACAAAATAAGGCCACATGAATCTTCAGCATCTCAATATGTTAGCTACAAAACCCAGCAGGAAGTAATAGAAAGAGAAATTCCATTTAAAACAACTGCAGACAATACCAAATACTTGGGAGTCTACCTGCCAAGACAAACCAAGGAACTATAGGAACACAAATACAAAACGTTCTTCAAACAAATAAAAATAGATCTAAACAGGAGAAATGTTAATTGCTCATGGGTAGGCTGAGCCAATGTAATAAAATGACAATTCTACCTATATTAATTTACTTACTCAGTGCCAAACCAATTAAACTACCAAAGAAATACAGAGCTAGAAAAATAATAACAAAAATTCATCTCGAGGAAAAAAAGGTCAAGACTATGAAGGGAATCCATGAAAAAAAAAAAGTGTGAAGAAAGGCACCCGGCAATACCAGATCTCAAATTGTTTATTACAAAGTAGAAATCATGACCACAGGGCAGCTAGGTGGCACCACAGCGCATAGCGTGCTTGGCCTGGAATTGAAGATTCATCTTGATGGTGGGAGCCACGATGGCAGAGAGAAGCCAGGAAGTTGCCTGAGGTCTCCCCAGTTTCCCTTGGAAAAAAACATTAAATCAAGCCTCTAAAATGGATTCTGGAGCACAGGCATAAATAGAGTTTTCCTTCAAATGATTAGTATCTATCTGAGACCATCAGCAAGCATTGTCTGTAGTGGGAATAAGCTAGCAGCTTTCCAAATAAGAGTGAAACAAGAATGCCTATTATCACCAATATTATTTAATACTGTATTAGAAATGTTAGCTTTAGCAATAAAAAAAGAAAAAGAAATTAAAAGAGTTAGAATAGGCAATGAGGAAACATATCACTCTATGCAGATGATATGATGGTATACTTAGAGAATCCTAGAGAATCAACTGCAAAACTGCTTGAAATAATTAACTGCAGAAAAGTTGCAGGAGTAATATAAACCCACATAAAGCATCAGCATTTCTATATATCACTAACAAAGTCCAACAACAAGGGATAGAAAGAGAAATTCCATTTAAAATAACGACAGACAACATAAAATATTTGGGAATTCTACCTGCCAAGACAAAGCCAGGAACTATATGAAAACAATTACAAAACGCTTTTCACACAAAGTCAGATCTAAATAATTGGAAAACTATCAGTTGCTCATGGGTAGGCCCAGCTAATATAATAAAAATGACAATTCTACCTAAATTAATTTACTTATTCTGTGTCACACCGATCAATCTACCAAAAAATTATTTTATAGAGCTAAAAAAATAACGAAATTCATCTAGAAAAATAAAAGGTCCAGAATATCAAGGAACTAATGAAAAGAAATACTAGGGAAGGGGGCCTAGCCATATCAGATCTAAAACAATATTATAAAGCAGCAATCATCAAAACTATTTGATATTGGCTAAGAAATAGAGTGGTAGATCAGTGGAATAGGTTAGGTACAAAAGACACACTGGTAAATGACTACAGTAATCTCCTGTTTGATAAACCCAAAGACCCCAGCTTCTGGGATAAAAACTCACTCTTTCACAAAAAGTACTGGGAAAACTGGAAAACAGCGCGGCAGAAAGTAGGCACAGAGCAACGTCTCACACTCTATACCAAGACGAGGTCAAAATGGGTACATGATTTAGACATAAAGGGGGATAACCATAAGCAAATTAGGAGAGCAAGGAATAGTTTACCTGTCAGATCTATGGAGAAGGGAAGAATTTATGACCAAACAAGAGATAGAAAACATTTTGAAATGCAAAATGGATGACTTTGATTACATTAAACTGAAAAGTTTTTGCACAAACAAAGCCAATGCAACCAAGATTCGAAGGGAAGCAGAAAGCTGGGAAACAATTTTGTACAGCCAGTGTCTCTGATAAAAGCCTCATTTCTCAAATCTATAGAGAACTGAATCAAACTGATAAGAATCCAAGTCATTCTTCAATTGATAAATGGTCAAAGGATATGAACAGGCAGTTTTCTGATGAAGAAATTAAAGCTATCTCTAGCCATATGAAAAAATGCTCTAAATCACTATTGATTAGAAAAATGCAAATTAAAACAATTCTGAGGTATCCCCTCACACATATCAGATTGGCTAAATGACAGAAAAGGCGAATGATAAATGTTGGAGAAGATGTGGAAAAATTGGAACACTACTGCATCGTTGGTGGAGTAATGAACTGGTCCAACCATTTTGGAGAGCAATTTGGAACAATGCCCTTTGGACATACTCTTTGACCCAGCACCACCACGACTAGGGCTGTATCCCAAATAGAACAAAGAAAGAGGAACAGGGTCCATATGCACAAAAATATAGAGCAGCTCTTTTTGTGGTGGAAAAGAACTGGAAATCGAGAGGATGACCATCAGACCTGGTGTATAAGAGGCGGCACATGAATGTGACGGAATATATCGTGCTGGAAGAAATGACGAGCGGGACGGCTTCAGCAGAACCATGAACTGCGGCCACGAGAAATGAGCAGAAGCAGCACCCCGTCCACAGGGACAGCAACGGCGAAACACTGACTGACCGAGGGTCTCTCCTCCCGCTCCCCCTCGGGCCGGGGTCTCACCTCGCGCAGCAGGCGGATCTCCAGCAGCTCCTGGTACGCTCTCTCCGACTCCTCACAGCGGTCATGCTTCTGCAGGTCCAAGGCTTTGTGATACAGGGAGAAAGCTTCTGCTTCCTGGCAGGCCACACAATGAGAGGATGCAGTCAGCAGGAGCGCCACAGCCCGAGGCCCGGGACAGGAGGGAGATCCAGGAGCCACCTACTTACCTGCGCCTCCTTGGTCTGTGTTTTGTGGCTTTTGAACGTCCCTTCGTGGTCATCCTCCACAGTGGAGCTGGCATTCAAGGCTGCAATGCGGATCTAGAACGCCACAGCGCAGACACGGAAGCCCGTGGACAGGGCGGTTTTTGCATCTCCCCTCAGACACTGGTCAGGCCAGAGCGCCCTGAACCACGGCTAGACAGAGGCCACCACGAGACAAGCAGGGGCCCCACGCTAGTGACTGGGTGATGGCCAGTCCGCC